CCATCAAGTGCGGCATATACCAAGGCGATGCACTATCCCCGCTGCTGTTCTGCATAGGCCTGAACCCCCTCAGCCAAATCATCACAAAGACTGGCTACGGGTACCGGTTCTGAAGTGGAACAACCATCAGTCACCTCCTCTACATGGATGACATCAAGGTGTATGCAAGAAATAAGCGAGACATCGACTCACTGATCCACAGTACCAGGATCTACAGCAATGACATTGGAATGCCGTTTGGACTGGACTATTATGGTCGCATGGTATCAAAAAGAGGGAAGATAATCAGAACCGAGGGGACTGAACTACCAGAAGGCCACATTGCAGATGTTCAGGACAGCTACAAATACCTTGGGGTGCCACAGGCTAACGGAAACCATGAGGAGGCAGCAAGGAAGTCCGCCACAGCTAAATACCTACAGAGAGTAAGGCAGGTCCTGACAAGTCAGCTGAATGGGAAAAACAAGAGCCATCAACACATACGCCCTGCCAGTCATCAGATTTCCCGCTGGTATAATAAACTGGCCAAAGGAGGAGATAGAGGCCACTGACATCAAGACGAGAAAGCTTCTTACAATGCATGGAGGGTTTCACCCCAAATCCAGCACCCTGAGACTGTACACCAAGCGTAGCGAGTGAGGCCGAGGGCTAGTGAGTGTCAAGACCACTGTCCGGGATGAAACGACAAAGATCCAAGAGTACATCAGGAAGATGGCCCCCAAAGATGGGCTTGGTGAATACCTCAGGCAGCATAAACCCAAGGGTGAGGACAAGGAAGATGAAGAACCTTCATGGAGAGACAAACCGCTGCACGGCATGTACCACAGACAAATAGAAGAAGTGGCTGATATCAAGAAATCCTACCAGTGGCTGGAAAAGCTGGACTGGAGGACAGCACAGAAGAACTAATCATGGCGGCACAAGAACAGGCACTCAGTACAAGATCAATAGAGGCTGGGGTCTACCACACCAGCCAGGACCCCAGGTGCAGACTGTGCAAGGATGCCCCTGAGACAGTACAGCAGGGTGTAAGATGCAGGCAGGCACTGCGTACATGGAAAAGAATAACCAGGTAGCTGGCATAGTATGGGCTGGAAGTCCCAAGGTCAAAATGGAAGACACCTCCTAAGGTAGTTGAGAATGACCGAGCTAAGATCCTTTGGGACTTCAAGATCCAGACTGACAAACTGGTGATGGCTAACCAACCAGACATCGTGCTGATCGACAAACAGCAGAAGAAGGCTGCAGTGATGTGGCAATCCCAAGCGACAGCAACATCAAGAAGAAGGAACACGAGAAGCTTGAGAAATACCAAGGGCTGAAAGAGGAGCTAGAAAAGATGCGGAAAGTAAGAGCAACAGTGGTTCCAGTGGTAATCGGAGCACTGGGGGCTGTGACCCCCAAACTGGGAGAGTGGCTACAGCAGATACTAGGTAAAACATCAGAGGTCTCTGTACAGAAGAGTGCAGTCCTAGTAACAGCTAAGATACTGCGCAGAACCCTCAAACTCCCAGGCCTCTGGTAGAGGACCCGAGCTTGAGGATGACACATACCACCCTGCAAGGGGTGAGAGGGGGATTTTTTAAATTTGTTTTTTTATAATTTTTATATAATTTTAGAAAACATTTGTGTACATAAACACATTTATTTATGGCACTGACCTTAACCTTTCAGTCACTGTTTGTTAGAATATAAATGATGCCAGGGAAAAACAGCAGAGTGAAAGGTGTGCCAACCAACACCTTCCTTACAAAAATTAACTATAATATTAGTATAATAAAAAAACAACAACTATAATGTAGTACCCGCAACCCTGTACGCAGGATAAGTGGTTGACGATGGATGGATAGATATAATGTAGTGTCCTTTACTAAGAACTGGTTTACAGGACACTAATTGATTCTATAATCCCCTTTGATATTTTACACTCACAAACACATAGCAAAACTCTCTATCTATCTAAAGTGTACACCTGGTCATAATCAGGAAAGACCTCTCTCCACCAATCCTTCCAGTCCCACTGGTCTGGAAAAACATCTACTATCATCTATTTAATATGTTTTTTAATGTGTTTTTTTTTCAAATGTGTTTTTAAATGTGATTTTTTTGTTGTTGTTGAACATTGTCAAAGTAAAATGTCTGTTATGGTGTTACATAGAATAGAGTGTTCTTATCTTCCCTGACTAAAGAGAGCAGTTAATAAATTCTAATACCTCAGGCGCAAAGCAGTTCAAAACAGTTTTTAAAAATGTGGTAGAGAGGGGGTCCAAGCAGCAGGTCATGTTATGCTGTTTTGTCTTGCTCAGGTCTGGAGGGTCAAAGTGAAGCATGACACCAGGATAATTCATGGAGATCTGGAAGGTAGATTTATTCCTGGACCTTGAGGCACTAACGATTCAAATCAGCCATTTTTTACTCAACAGTCGATGTTTTCGAACAATGTCCTTCAGCATGATATTACCAAATGAGAAGACATTTCCTGTTGCTGTGGTTTATCACCAACACTGGTGATGGTAACATACATAGTTTTTCTGGATTAAATTACCACATTCCACTCTACTTATGTTCTGCCTGCTGACACTCTCTCTTTCAGCTTTCCACATCCATTTCTCCAGAGAGAGAGCTTTTGTTTTTCTCTGTTTTTAAGGTAAAAGGTGTAATTCTTGGCCACATGCTCCAAATAAACAGGGGGCGTAATAAACCTTGCAATGTCCTCAAAAATCTATAGACAACATTCCAAGCTTCTAATCAAACCTCAACTCATAAAAGTGATGCCAAGTAGTTACAATTCAGTGAATGATTCACATTTGATGAGTCGGTATACTACTGGGTCCATACAATCTCATCAGATATAAAAAAAAAAAGACTAAACTATTACTTACTAACAACAGAGCAAGAATATGCACAATTCAACCAAACTGCTGAAACTCTGAAAGCCGGTCAGAATAACGCTGCTTTCTTCAAATCTGCACTTGTGGCATCATCTTTAGTTTCAGTCATAGCCCAGCTCCAGTTTAGCAAGACCACAGTAGCAAGAAAACAGCCACATCAAACCATATATGGCCTATATAGTACGTCTTTTGGAATGTTTTTTTCGGTGCAGTTTGTGTTGTCATTAATTACAATAAAATGCGTTTCTCTAAATAGATGTTACTCACCAGTCTAAAATAGAAGAAGCGACATAAAAAGAAGCAAAACAAGATTATTCAATACAATGTTCATTTTTCTTTTAGCTCTCATTTGTTTGGAAGTAAGTGTGCAAGGGAAAAGCAGAAGGCAGAAACCCGACAGACCTTAAAGAGGGCACACAAGGTCTCTTGAGCATGCTTTGCATTCTGGGAAGTACGCCAAACAGCAAAAACAATATGTTTTTTGTTCATTGGTGATATGATCAGTTTAGTAAATGCTTGACAGGAATGAATTGTCACAAGTTTCTTCAAAATTATATGGACCAAGCTGTGTGAAGTAGTGAAAATGAGTTTCATTTAAATGGGCTGGTGAGGAATCTATTCATGGAGCACATTGTGGGATCAGTACTGTGTGTGTGCGCGTGTGTGTTTAACATCCTGGATGGGCGGGTTCACGCTGCGAGCACTGACAGCTTTTTCCTGTTGCTGGGTTACTGAGGCTCAACTCTTGTCCTGTGTAATAAGCTCCTTGAAGCAACAACAGCGTGGTGAAAGTTATTGGTCAGGACTTTATCAGCCTTATCCATGTGGGAATCAAATGAGACTGTAGAGATGTACAAAATGCAGAAATTAATTTTGCTTTCATTATGTCAGAGGGGAAGGAAACTGGTGCCAGGTCAGCTTTTCTTTGTAGTATGTAGCTGTAGTTTACACCTTTTCAGGAAACACATTTAAGTTTGGTGTATTAGTAAGGAGGTGGAAATTGTGAATCACTTTGTTCAGTTCAGTTCAAAGACTTACAGTCACGATGTCCTTCGCTCACTTTATTCCTAAGCTAAGCACACAGTCGCATCACAGTTCAGCTGAACTTCAGTATGTACAAATCTAAGTGAGCTTGTTCAATGACTGAGTTAGCAGATTAGTTTCTGTGGCATTCATGATCTTTCATTGTGCTTTCTACAAGGTACCGTACTGTGACTCACAGCTGAGCTCTCAGTCACCAATGACGAGCTCCACTGCTAAACGCTACTGATTCCATCAGTGACAATAGTTTTTCAGTGTAGTCAGTTAAGTTCAGTTCAGTTTAAAGATCATACATGTGCGGAACACCTCTAAACAGTTGGTAGACCACATGACTCTCCATACGTTCCCTCATACATTAAATCAGGGGGCCCCTTCGATCTGATAATGCCGTGCACCACTTGGTCATAGTTTCCAGTTTGAACTTAATCAATGATCTATGAGTAAATAGTAACAATAATATTGTAATGTGATAGTGTAATGGTACTAAGTTTATTTACTGAAGAACTTTTACTTGGATTCTGAATGCAGGACTCGTTCTTGTAGTGGAGTATGTTTAAATACACACACACAAGGTACTGGCCTGACCATCAGGAGCAATATGGGGTTCAGTGTCTTGCCCAAAGACACTTCAGCATAAACACTGTAGGAGATAGGGATCAAACCGCTAACCCTCTGCACATCTGAAGTCTCTAATTTTATCCACGGTTCCTACGCTTGCTTCCTCCCCCTGGGGTTGCACAGAGAGACACAAGTAAACCATGCAAGGAGAGAAGAAAGGAGGAAATAGGTTTTTAGAGAAACAAGACGTCCTTTCTTCTGACTTTAACTGTCTCCATAATAAACATTAATGAAGGAGAATAACAGATCATGAGAATAAAAACATTTCTAAGAAATAAATTTTTCTTGATTTTAATATTGCTAAAATTTGTTTTCTTTTGTCAACATACTGAAGCTCAACATCAGGAATCTTATGAAGCAGGCTGATTTGTATCAGAAAGAGGAAGTTGATGTAATCTAAAAGAAACAAGAATAAAAGACATGAAAGCCAAAAAAACAGAGGACAGATTTCTGTTTTTTCTTATTAGTGTTTTATTGTGGTTTACAGTACAAAGGCTCAGACAGGTGCTTTACAGAATCATCACTGCAGGTCTCAATCTGTAGCTTATATTTGCAGTAGAGTCATGCAAAAGGCCAAATACACAGCACGCAGCCAGGAGCAAGACTAGTGACACACACACACACACACACACATATATATACATAGATCCTCATCACACAATATTCATACTTTCACACATGGTGAAAATATCTGAGTCCTATCAATATGCAGACTAGTGGCTGACATTATTGCATTCAGTGGGACCCACAGTTTTATAGAACAAACAAGCAACAAAAGGAAAATCAGTGTTCAGGGTCAACATCAGGCAGGCTGCATACATACTTTTGGAATATACAGCAGACTGCTGTAGACAATATTACCTCTTCACCCACAAGTGCTCAGAGTACTGGCTGCATATGTCCAGTGTGTTCAGTGTCACGCTGGAGGCAACATGTGCGCTGTTCCTTCACACACAACTTGTTTTCAGACCACATTTCATTCTTGAAAACCAAACACATCACATTATAACAGCATCTCTGCAGCCATCAGTGGAAACACACAGGTCAGTGTTGTATTTACAGTGAAAGCCCAGAAGAGGTCCATAGAGGTGGCGAGGTGACGGTGCAAGGGGCTGAAGCTGCTGAAAGCACCATCACAGGAAAGCACTGGGGTTTGCTCGGGGATCCTTCTGGTTCCTGTAGCGATACGTGAGCCACACTCCCAGAATCTGATACAAGGACACAGACAGTCAGATACTGAGAGCACAGACAGCAGTAACATCTGATTATCCATGGTTTTCTTTTAGTCAGAAATCCTCTAAGAGATTCTGTCTAATCTAAATAGTCCTGTATTTATGACTTCAAGGTTCAGTTTGTAACTCGTCTAATGCTCCTTTTTGAGTATCTATTATCTGTGGAAAACCGTCCTAATTCTGCCCTACACGCTTTGAAGGACATTTCCTTTGAATGTGTAGGATGTTTCAGCAGATTCTGCATGTGTTTCTGTTGTAGTTCTGATGACTGAGTAAATGCAAATGTAAATGCTCTGTATTTGTATAGAATCAGAATCAGAATCAGAATCAGAAGGAGCTTTATTGCCAAGTAGTGTTTTACACATACGAGGAATTTGCTGTGGTGATAAGGTGCTACACGCAGACAAACATACAGTCAACATAAATAAATGTAGAAATATATAAATATGGAATGGAAGAGCACCATTGCAGATATATACATGTGCATTATTCTGGGTCTGTTCCGTGCAGAAGTAACGCAACGTAAGAGAATATTGTGTACATATAAATATATAAACTGATAACATAAAAATATACAAGATCAACAATAAACAAATATGTGCAACGTGCCAGGTCTGAGCCCGACATGAGATGAAACAGTATTTACATGTGCAGAGACATTTGTGTCATTTGCAAGGGGGGAGTGTCAGTAGGGGACCCGGGCCTTGTTAATGAGGCTAGCTGCAGACGGGAAGAAGCTGTTTTTGTGGCGAGAGGTTTTGGTCCTGATGGACGGCAGCCTCCTGCCAGAGGGGAGAGTCTGAAACAATTTGTGTCCGGGGTGGGAGGGGTCAGCTGCAATCTTTCCTGCTCGCCTCAGAGTCCTCGAGGAGTATAGGTCCAGAAGAGAAGGAAGATTGCAGCCAATCACCTTCTCTAGCGCCTTTCTAGTCTCAAAGCACTTTTACACAACATCACATTTACCCATTCACACACATTCATCCATTGAGCCTACGTGCTCAAACAGAAACTAACATTTACACACATCCAAACACATCCATGGAACACTATCAGGGGCAATTCGGGCACTTTTCAAAAACAAGTTACAAAGTGCTTTAACAAGTGTAAAGACAATAAAACCCAAAAGACAATAATACAAAAACAATACAAGATAAAAGCATGAAAACATTGAAAAGACTAAAATACACGTTTAAGATAAATATAAAATTAGTAAAATAGAATAAAATAAAAGGGGTAAAATAAAGTCAAATAAGATCGGGAAAGGCTCTCCTATAAAAGTATGTTTTAAGAAGGGACTTAAAAGAGTTCACTGACTCAGCTGACCTGATTTCCTCGGGCAGGCTGTTCCAGAGCCTCAGGGCCCTGACAGCAAACGCTCTGTCCCCTTTAGTTTTCAGTCGAGACTCTGGAACAGACAGCAGACCTCTGCCCGAGGATCTCAAGGTACGTGCTGGTGTGTATGGGACTAAAAGGTCAGAAATATAACAAGGCGAGAGGCCATGAAGAGCTTTAAAAGTGATCAATAGAATTTTAAAGTCAATTCTAAAACATACTGGGAGCCAGTGTAATGAAGCTAAAATAGGAGTAATGTGATCATATTTCTTTGTTCTGGTTAAAAGCCTGGCAGCTGAGTTCTGGACAGTCTGGAGTCGATCAATAGATTTTTGGGTTAAACAGGTGAAAAGGCTGTTGCAATAATCCAGGCGTGATGAGATGAAGGCGTGTAAAATGGTCTCGGTGTCCTTAAAAGTTAACATAGATCGAATTTTATATTTCTAAGTTGATAAAAACATGATTGAACAAGCTTTGTGGTGTGCTGCTCGAAATTTAAATTACTATCAAACCAAACATCAAGGTTCTTTGCCACAGGCTTAATGTGATTTACTAGGAAACCAGCATATGGCAGTATTTGTTTTACCATCTGCTGGGACCCAATGACCAGGATTTCTGTTTTGTCTGAGTTCAGCTGGAGGAAATTATTTGACATCCATTTTTTAACTTCACAAAGGCAGTCGGTAAGTGAACTCAGCATTCCAGGGTCTGTGGATCTGACGGGCAAGTATATTTGTGTGTCATCAGCATAAATATGAAGGAAGAAATACCATGTTTATGGATAATATGTCCAAGGGGAAGCAGATACAAGGAAAACAAAATGGGTCCTAAGACCGACCCCTGAGGCACACCATATTTAACTGGACAGAACGAAGAGACATAGTTGTTTACAGACACGCAAAACTTCCTATTTGACCGGTAGGATGAAAACCATCCTAGGGCAGTACCAGAGATCCCCACCCAGTGCCTCAGTGTGTCTAACATGATGTTGTGATCAATGGTGTCAAAAGCAGCACTAAGGTCCAGGAGTACCAGGACTGAGCACATGCCTTCATCAGCAGACATTAAAAGGTCATTGGTGACTTTAAGCAGGGCAGTCTCAGTGCTGTGGTACTTCCTAAAACCAGACTGAAACTTTTCAAATAATTTGTTATTTTCCAGTACAATGAGCAGCTGTTTGGACACAATTCTTTCTAGAATCTTTGCAATAAAAGGCAGTTTTGAAATTGGTCAAAAATTATGTGGTAGGGAGGGATCTAAACCAGGTTTCTTTAAAAGTGGGTTCACGCAAGCCGTTTTAAAATAATCAGGGACACAACCAGTAGATAGGGAGCTGTTGAAAACAGAGATCAAATGGGGCCCAACAGAATCCATTACTTTCAGTAAAAACTTTGTAGGTATTACATCAAGTGGGCTGGAGGACACTCTCATTTGTGATACTGTTAAAAGCTCGATGTGATAAAACTGGTTAAAACTCTCTTGTTGCTGGTGAGGAACCTCTGAGTAAGAGGCCGCGGGGGTAATAGAGGCTCTGATTGACACCACCTTATTGGTAAAATAAGATAAAAACAGTTCACAGTCATCATTACTTCCAGCTGAGGCACAAGGAGGAGTTGGGTTTACCAGCTGATCCACAGTCTTAAACAGATACCTGGGATTGTGTTTATGTGTAGTAATGAGTTATGAGAAAATTGTGTGTTCTCGCATCCTTAACCATGTTATTGTAGTTAATTAATAAATCCTTCAGACTGAGGTAATGGATTTTTTCCATCTGCGCTCTGCTTTCCTGCATTCCCTTTTTAGGCTGTGAATGCTGTCATTTATTCAGGGTTGCTTACTAGCTTTAGACGTAGGCCTAACCTTTAGAGGAGCAGTAATATTTAGTGACAACAAGCAGATATGATTGAAGTGATCGACCAGATTGTTGGTGTTGGAATCAGACAGGTGTTGGCTTTGGCTCTGAAAGAATGCGCAAAACTTTGAAACACCTTGTTCATTAAAGAAGCGAGAACACACGGAGCTTAGTGAGGCGGCATGAGTAACAGGCGAATCGCAGCTAAAAACAATACATCTGTGGTCAGATATGGTCATGTCCACTAATTCCACAGAGGAAATGCTGACACCCAGGGTAAAAACCAAGTCCAGTGTATGACCACGGTTATGGGTTTGCCCTTTGACATGTTGTTTGAAGTTAAAAGAAGTGGCCATATTTAAAAAGTCAGTTGCATTAACATTGGTGGGGTCATCAACATCAATATTAAAATCGCAAAAAAGAACAATTCTGTCATAATTTAAAACCAGAGTAAATAGAAATTCAGGAAGTTCTGATAAAAATCCTACATAAATCCTCCTTTTGGGGTGATAGCAGCACCAGGTCATCAGCATATAACAGAGACTTGACTACTCCATTTTGGAGCTGGAGTCCTGGCGCTGTACATTGGTCCAACTGTACTGCTAACTGGTTTATGGAGATGTTAAGTGGGACTCAAATTACAGCCTTGGCGAACGCCTCTCCACTGGGTAAAAAATTGGTGTGTTTGTCACTGATTTTAATGCTGCACTTGCTGCTATAGGCCTAGACTACCAGGGGACTTCCCATGATGCACTGAGCTCCTCTCTCCTCTACTTTCTCTCCCTCTGTATGCAACCTCATCCCATTATTGCATGTTACTAACACAACTTCTCCCCTTTCTGGTAGTCTTGTGCTTTCTCGTCTCTCTCCTCTCTCCTCCTATCACTTCCTGCAGGTGTTTCTGGCTCTGGAGCTGTGGAGTCTGGATCTGTGGTTGCCTCTGCGACAGCAACTATTGTTACTAGTCCTATTATTATTATTATTATTATTATTATTGTTATTATAATCATTAACATTACGACTGTTACCATTAACACTACTATAAATATCGGTACCATTTAGTCATTTAGTCTATAGCAACATCACCCTTACTGTCTGTACCTCTGTGTGTATATTGTTTAGGCTGCCTCCCTCCCCTCTCTCTCTCCTTCCATCCCCCTCCCTCTTTCTCTCTGTTCCTCTCTCTCTCTCTCTCACTCTCTCCTTCACCCCCTACCGGTGGAGGCAGATGGCTGCCCACCCTGAGCCATGGTTCTGCTCGAGGTTTCTGCCTCTTAAAAGGAAGTTGCCTCTGTCGCCTAGTGCTTGCTCTTGGTGGGAACTGTTGGACTTCTGTAAATATCATCACAGAGTACAGTCTAGACCTGCTCTTTTATGAAAAGCGCTCAGAGATAACTGTTGTTGTGATTTAGAGCTATATAAATAAAACTGAATTGAATTGAACTTGTTTTCCGTGTTCATGGATTTGATCGATCGTATACCTTTCCTCCTATACCACTTTGGAGGATTCTACAATAGAGTCCATCTGGCCAAATAGAATCAAATGCCTTTTTAAAGTCAACAAAACAGGCAACTATTTTTCCATTTTTTGTTTGATGTACACGTTTGGGTGAAAACTGTGGTAGGCAGTGCGATGCTTTGGAAGGAAGCTGATTTGGTTTTTACTCAAGATGCTGGGTTCATTTAGGAAGTTTAATATTCTGATGTTAAAATGCAACAGAATAACCTCCCCAGCTTACTGCTCACACAGATCCTTCTGTATAAGTGTCAGGAAAAAAGCCAGATATTAAAACAGTGTTAAATAATTTGTGCTCTACCATCTGCAGTTCAGGAGTGCTGTTTTTAATAATTTCATTTGAAATGTTGTCAGCACCACATGCAGATTTTATTTTCAAGATTAATTCTTCACTTGAGATTGGAAAATCGAGTGAGTTTTGGTTTTCTTTAATAGTGGTTTCCAATATGGTGGGTTTTTCTCTGATCAGCTTGTGATTTTAATTTGTTTGGATGGGGGCTGCATGTGGTTTGCTTGTGCTTAATATGTTCCACATGTACCAGAATTGATTTTCGTCAATGGAGTTTCCAAAATCTTTGTTTTGTAAGTGTAGTTTTGTTTTTTACTTCTGAAAGTGTTTTTGTATTGTTTGAGGGTTTCACAATATCTCATATGCAAACCTGGGTCCTCAGGTTGACCATGTTTCAGATTGGACATCGTTCTGAGTTCCTTTCGATGGTTTTGCACTCAAGGTCAAACCATTTCTCATTTTGTTTCTGTTTCTTTGGTTTTCTATTATTATTATTATTATCATTTTTAGGTCAGCCTCAAAAGCTGCATAAAGGATGAGGTTCACATCTCTCACAGCCTTATCCACACCTTCTTTATTGGTGTCGTCTTGGTTTTGGATAAAGGTTGTTATTTTATTGACCAGTTTTGTTGAATTTAGAGCTTTCAAAATTTGTCATCAATATTTGGGGCCCATCTGTACACCTCACTGAGTTTGTACAGCTTAGAGGGCTCTGTTGGTTTGTTCTTCTAGGGTTTTCAGGAATTTTCAGAAACACATTTATTTGGTTGTGGTCTGAGAGTGGGGTTTGCTGCCTGACAGTGACTGCTTTGAAAGCGGAGGAGTCAGTCTCCACTGTGAGATGTACAACGGGGTCTGGCCAAACATGTGATTATTACCTTGTGGGTCTTCAATATCGTGTTCAGTACCGGTTCTTTCATTTAGGTCTCCATGTAGTAACACATTTCCCTGGGCTTGAAAGTGGGTGATTTCTGTGAGGAGAATGCTAAATATTTCCTCATAATAGTATGGAGATTCTACAGGTGGAATATAAATTGCACAAAGATAAATGTCTTTTTCCATGCTGATACTTGAATTTAGTTTTAGCCAGATGTGTGACTTCCCTTGTTTGACTGTGGAGGCGTCCCCTTTGACCCACACCATGATTCCCCCGTTTCTACTCCGGCCAACAGTTTTCACTGTCAATGTAGGCACTAAAATTGGGTTGTATCCTGAGAGACAGTGAGAAATCTTGTACAAGTAATACCATGTTTTTCTCCCTCTCTCTCTCTCTTGCTGTACTTCTACCACCACCACCACCAACAACAACATCTACATTTACTGTGGCTGCCATACCTGTCACCACTCTTCTTACTATTATTACTGCAATTACAGCTACTACTATTACTAATACTTTTACAAATAATGTGACTACCAATACTACTAATGCTAATACTTGTGCATAGCATCTGACCATCCTCAGCAGTGTTGTGGTTGTGATGGCTCACCTCAGTGAAGCTGAAAAAGAGGCCGATCCCTCCTACAAAGCGGAGAGCCTCGCCAGCATTTTCCTGGATCTTCTCTGCACAGGGCAAACACGAGTGGTTGGGGAAACACGCCTGCAGGAGAACAACAGACACAACAGAAAAATCATGCAAATGCTTCTGACAGCAGGGTTAGAGGCTTTTATGATTTAAAAATGAATTATTCTCCAAATGATTCAATCCCAACAACTGACAATCCATCGGTTTATTTTAACATACTTAAATGTAATGGGGGGCAGGAAACATTTTGTGATGCAAACTCACAGCTTCACAGGTGAGGTTGGGGTCCACCTGTTTGAAGCCACAGCAGTTGAGGCTTTTCTCCACATCCCTCTGAGTGCTCTGAGAGTTATTCCAACCCACTTCCAGCAGGTGGTCCTGCAGCACACAGACCAGAGCAACATGAAGCATTACTGAATCAGTTACTGCATTTTGAGGTGTTTATTTCACAATGTCTTACTGTAAGTGTTTAAATAACAATAACACTGTTTTCTTGCCAAAACGTTAGGGAAAAAGCAGAATCTGAGTTGTGTCGGTCATGCAGCCCTGTGCAAAGTGTTCAATTGCTATTTTCAACCGTTGACTTTCAACTATAAAACCTAAATGTACCTTCCAGTAGCAGAGGGGGTCAGTATCAAGTTTATGTCTATTTGTCATTCCATCTGTACAAAATAGATTGAGAGGACAAAACATTTGCAAAGTGTATGGATGCATTAAAACCTGAGCCCAATCAAAGCTGTAACAGTCCTTACTGAGCAACACATTTTTGGTCTTACTTTTAGAACTTTTTTAACTGAAATGACTCCTATCTGTGCTGATACCTATAGGGCTCATATTTCTGAGGAAGCACTTGCACATCATTTCACATTACTGGTCCATGGTTTGCGATTCTAGCTCATTCCAGCTCACGGCAGTTTGAGCTGTGGCATAAGACAAATAATAACAATAATTTTAATAATGAACCTGCACAAACCCAACAGGATTCTACCCCTTAGGGATTTAAACCCAAATAAATCAAACTTTTGATTGCTCTTGCAGCAGCTGCACACGACTTGAGGGTCTTTTATTTGTTCTCCTGTATATATTAGAAAGAGTACGGTTGTATTTGAAAGGTGAATTGTTCAGTGGAAGAAAAGATTCCATTTTCTTAATGGTATGGTGCTGCACATCCCACAGAGGGTTTGAAACATCGTCACGGTGGATCGTATACCGCGGTGACTCCTATGTTCACGTAGGAACTTAACTTTCAGTGAGATGAGTGAGGCCTTTCTGCTGTTTCTGCTAATCCCAGATGTGACTGCAGAGCGCTCTCTCAGCTCTGAGAATGAACGAGCAGAGAAGTTTAACCTAGAGCAGACTGAGGAGGACTTCGCAATGACAAACTCACTGTGACGGTGGTAACTCTCTCCAGAAGACAACGTCAATGTTGCTAGGCAACGTGTGCAGCTCTCTTTTTGCTGTATATGTGTGTTTGTGGAGTCATTCTTGTTTATACATTTCTGTGTTGGTTGCTTTGGTGATGCTGCTGTCAAAGTGGCAGGCTATTTGTTTCTGTAGACTATAATGCTTGTTGCACCTGTTGCAGAGTTTAAACCTCTTTTTACTTATTGTTGGTCATTTCTGAGTTGTGTCCTCTTCTCTGGTGAATTCCAGAGATGCTACACTGAGGAAGGCTGCTGTATAATTGATAATCAGTTGTATCCACAGGCTGCAAAGTGCTGTCTATAGAAAAATTTAATATTGTTTACTCAGAGCACATTTTACAGTACATTTTTACCCAAGTAATTTAATTTTATCTTTAACTGAATTAAATCTTAAATGTAACGCTACTTTTACTAAAGTAAAGTATTCTAGTATACTTTACAACCCTATACAGTAGGTTTGATGTCATTATTTGCTTATCATCAGTGGCATCAGAAAGGTGTTTTATCCTGGTTGCAAAAGCATCAGAGTTTAAACAGTGCTCACTAATCACTTCCACTTCATTACTGATACCACAAACACAAACACAAGCCACTTCCTGAGAAGGGAAGATGAGCTGTGCTGAATTAGTGGTGATGGCTGATGTTCCCTGAGGATGCTGAGGTTTTTGTTGAACTATTCACATTCATTTCTTCATTCAAATGGTGACTCATCACTGTTCCTCTGAGACAGGAATCAAAAGGAGAGGGAAAATGTTCCCTTGGCTGCTCGTACTGCATTAAATATCTTAAATAAATAAAATATCTAACTATAGTCTGGGATGTTTAATATTTACAGGATTTGGTGGCTGAGGACCACCTAAACTGAATTATTTGGCAAATACGATGTGGTCACATGACACTCTCTGAATTCTTTGAAGTTGAGGTGGGTTGTTTAAATGCTCCAATAAACAACAATAAACTTCTACAAAGAACACACTGGTTATTTAAATTAAGGCAAATAAATGACACATTTTAGACTTTAGAATGGAATGAAGCTGCTCAAGTTCACCCTGATTTATTTTTCTGTGGGAGGCAAGTAAATTGCCTCCTCAAAGCACTGTGGGATAGCAGGTGATGATGGACTGACACAAAACAGGGAGTAGACAAAAGGTTGAAAATGTACAATTCTGTATAAAAAGAGGGCGTAATTCTTCTATAAGCTTTGTAGTTATTTACAAAACAGCTGATAAATAAAAATAGATGTGTCATTAAGTTTATTCTCCAACTGTGGAGAAATATAATAAATTATTTTTCTTTCATTTTCTGGGGTTTCTTTTGTATGCCCCACACTTCCAAAATTTCAGATACATACGAAAATGTTTTACTATGCTCAAAGTCCCGTAAACCATTGCAGAAACTTGTGAGTCTCTCATTTACACAATGTTCGTTAACAGGCAAGCTTCTTGTTAGCTTGCAAGTGTTGCTACGTCTCCAGTGACAACAAGATTCCCTGCAAATGTGTGTTAATAATAAACATAAAGCAAGAGGTGGCACGGCTGCAAATGAAGTCAAAGAATGGTGACAAATTTGCCCTGGGTGGCACAAATTGAGATGAAAAGGTTGAAAATGTTTCAACCTGAGTAAGAAATGAACACCTATCCTGAGGCACGACTCTGAGACCACTCAGAGGCTGAGGCCGAGCTGTCAGCACACACAAACATACACGGTTGGTGTGAAGGTATGTCACGCCGTGTTGCATGTTGGGATTGGGGCATCACCTTGTGAGGTACGCGCTCTATGAGACTGGTTGCTATGGTGATTACCTAATTACCTTTTCTCATTTGTTTGGCCAAAAAGTTGCTTAGATCAGTAAAATCTGAAAGAAGGAAATGGTAAATGGCTTGTACCGCCTCTCTAGTCTTCTGAGCACTCAAAGTGCTTTACACTATAATAATAATAATAATAATAATAATAACAGCTTTATTTGTATAGCTCTTTCAATACAGGTAACAATGTGCTTTACAGCATTAAGGTAAAAGTCAAATAAAAATCTGTATGACACACAGTGATGTGCAACGCAGGATATATGTGAAATTTTAAACCAGTCAAGATAAAGGAGAAGTTAATTACCCGTCACACAGTGGTTTATAATCAATAAATACGACATAAACAAGTCGTTGTACAAATAATGGAGAAATAATTTACGCATCACACAATGAAAGTGTTTTTGTAAGTAAGATGAAACCAGGAACAGATTCTGAGCCTGATCCTCTCTGGTAGACAGTCCCAGAGTGTGGGGGCCCTGACAGCAAAGGCCCTTTCTCCTTTGGTTTTTAGCCCAGACCGAATCGCTAGCAAGGCCCTACCAGCGGGAATACACGTCACATTCACACACTGACGGCAGAGGTGCCAACTGCTTATCAGAAACAAATAGTACTTCATACACACTCACACACTTATGGCACAGTCTTCAGGAGCAATTTGGGGTTCAGCATATTGCCCAAGGACAAACTAATAACCATGTAGATCCATATGACTTGGCAGACCAAGACAGGATTACAGACCCAGATGCACTACTGCCATTCACATACCTGGGCACTGTCATTACGTCGTTTTGGGACGAACTTTGTGTGAATTCAAAAGTTATAAATCACGAGAAGCTGATGAACAGTTTGCAGTGGCTGGGTGCGACACCTGCTCATTCACAAGCCCAAGCACAGTCCTACTGGCAAAGGTAAGATGGTACTCCTCTTTTTGGCCCAATTATTAAACCAAAGAAAAACATCCAGCTATGTCATTTTATTTAGTCACAGGCAGCTGCCACACCACCAGACTGCAGAGCAGCTTTTTCCCCAAACTATCAGACTCTTGTACTCTAATTCATCCTCAGCCCTGCTATTATTATTATTATTATATATATATTATATATTATATATATATTATAGTTTATTTCTGTTTACCATTTTTATAATTTCTTCTATATTGTGTATGTAATGTATATTGTCTGCTATGTAGCAGAAGGGAGTTCCAAACTCAGATTCACTTAACAATCTGCTAAACTGTGACGAAATCAATCTAGCTACCTAACTAATGTTTGCAGCTGAAAGTATTAAATAATGTGAGGTGAACATTCACTTCAGTCTAAACCCACCTTTACAGCTGCATTACAGTGTGGTCTGTTAAAGCTACTGCAGATATAGACATTTGTATTTCTTTTTCCTGGTACAAAACAGATCTAGTTCTAGTTTGCCATTTATCATTACACATACATAAACACACATTATCAAACAAGATAATAGACCCAGGATGACTGCCAGTCCTTGTTTTTAACAGTGGTAAAGGTAAAGGATGGATTATGCAACTGAAAGCTGCTTTAATGGAGAAAGTGAAGCTTGTCCTCTTACCTGTTGCTCTCTGTTGATGGCCAAACAGGCGCTGGAAACAGAGAACTGCACAACAAACACCATGAACAGGACGATCATGTACTGAGCTTCACTGTCAAAGAACAACAAATACACACATCGTACAGAGTAATCCTGCTTACAGCCAGTGTTACTAAACCACTGCGTATAAAGTTGACACTGTGCATTAGCAGAATCAAAGAGCTGTATGCACCAGAGACAGTGCATACAGCTCTTTGACTTACAACTGCAGTATGAAATACGATGCTGCTCTGGATCGTATTGCACATGCATACATGAATGAAAAACAGACTTTCAAAAACATGAAGGTGAAGAGAGCAGTGGAGCTGTGGGTCACAAACATGACGTGCAAATTCATTCCCAAGTCCATCCATAATGCATAAGCAGTGTAAAGTGTTCATCTAAATATTCTACACTGAAAATCCTTTTCAGAATTTTAGTGTTTCTAACATTCTCCAAGTACTTAAATATTTTGATTCATATTTCACAACATCAAGCAGCAGCCACTATCAGAACATAATTCTGGGTTCAATAGTTAAAAATTGATTTTATTTCTATAGCACCAAATTATGAAGAAGTTATCTTATTGCACTTTTCACATAGTGTAAGTCTAGATCATACTCGTGGCAATATTGGTTGGATTAAGTTATCTTGGATTACAGAACAATTAAAGCAGAGAATTGAAACCATGATCAATACTCATGAATAAGCCTGCACTTTAACAGGTTTGGGCTTAAGAAACAGTCCATTCTTTCAGAAAGTGAGATGAAATGATCAGTATAATTTGCGTGTGTGTAATAAGTACAGAGTTGTAATCAGGATGTAGTTAGCCTAGCTTAGCTTTTTATCATTAGTCCTAGTGTTCCTGTGTGGATATTGTGTTGTGGGCTTATCCCTCTCCATCTCCCTCTGAGTTTTTCTTTGACTGTGTCGCCTAGTAACTGTTGCGTCTCTGTAAATAATATACAAAGAGTACAGTCTAGACCTGCTCTATATGAAAAGTGCAATGAGATGACTTTTGCTATGAATTAGTGCTATATAAATAAATCCACGAAAGTGTTACTTTAAGGGTTTTGTTGACCATAACTCCAGACGCATTTAAAGTCAACTTTGACAAACTGAACACTTGTGTTAAATTGTCAACAATCAAATCAAGCTAACTTATTTATCCAGAGAACAAAGTCCTGCCACACTCCAATCACTGATTTCACAGCAGGTGTTTTGTCATTTACAGCTGAAGTAAAACACCTGCTGGGACATTTAGTTTGTAACCAAAAAGGAACCTGCTTGTAAGCGTTAACCCATAGAAATCAAAACAGCAGAGTGATTACATGATAAATTCCTTTTTAAAATACTGATCCAGGTCAACCACATCACATTTTCCGGCTGGTAATCATGTCAAAATGAGTTGTTAAACGCATAACAGCCATAGAATGTCTAGTGGGAAGGATACGAAGAAGAGCAGGACCTGGTGATGCTTCATGGCCCCCATGAGGCCGGCCAGGGCCACAAAGAAGAGAAAGACGCCCACACCGATGATGCCTCCCACTACCTGGAAACTGGAGACCAGACCGAACCACTTCCCCCACGCTGCGATGCCGATCATCAGCAGGCTCACCATCTGCAGGACAGACACACAGACTGAGTCTCTGTGCTACAAGTTTGATTCCATTTTTTTGATCCTGTATTAGATAGTGACAGAGGCAGGAGGCCTTACATATTGTGGGATGTATGTAATCCTTGCAATCATTTTAAGATGTAAATATCAAATAAAAATATTAGCTGCAGGCAGCCTCAATTTAAAAAGAGAGGATAAAACCCTATCATTAAGACTAACAGCTGGATCAGCTTATTCTCCTATGTGAACTCTATATTATATAATATTACGATGTATTATAACACTGTGTGTGGACATTGACCAGCTAGTCAGAGTGAGTCAGGATCATGCAGCCAAGGCGCCTTCACCTGGAGCAGTGACACACAGCCAGCTGTTAAGTGCAAAACATAGTATTTATATTCTGGACAACAGATCTGTGTCCTTCAAAATCCCTCCAACCTATCCAATGTGCCAACATTAAATATCATTTATAGTGGAAGTAGCAGCCAGATCCTTTTCTAAATAAAACTAACAACACTACAAATGTAAGATTAAAGTGCAGAAGCAAAATATGCTTGAATATAAAGGGAAAAGTGCTCATTGATCATGTGGTTGTGAACCTGAAGCACTTCACTGGCTGAATTTTGAAAGCTGGAGGCCAAACATTGTACGAGAGCCTGCAACATCGATGTGGGGACTGGGGGACTTAACTGTACTGTAATGTTGTTGTTTGGCACCTGAATATTTATATTACAATTATCATTTTCAAAGACAGCTCGGCTCCTGGCTGATTTGCTGTTTGGTAGGTTTTGTAGAATTTACATGCAAAAATAGTCACCATGATGCATAAAATGAAGCAGCCTATCTAATAAATATTCCAGGGAGAGGACCCCAAAGCCCCCCAAAATAATACTGGGCCCTGCTGTGTAAAGTATGGCTACTATTAAGAAAAAACCTAGATCTGCCCTGATTGAAGCAGCAGAGGCCAAGATATCAAAATAGTCTGTTGAAACAATATTAATTTGTAGTAATGATGATGACATCATTCTGACATCATCAGTTAATTTCTCAGATTGGACAAATCTCCTCCAGAGAACAGCTGTGTAGGGCCACTATGCAATAAAACCGTGTTGGAACCCGTAGGGGTCACACACACACACACACACACACACACACACACACACAGCTATCGTCCAGGTTGAGAAACGGGCGGTGATAAGCGCTATCAGAGCTGCAGGCAAAGCTCACACAGGACGGCCTCTGTACTGCCAGGACATGCAGCGGAGGGAAATAACAGTTAGACCTTTAAAAGCGGTTTCCTCCTTCTGTTTAAAATGTGTTATCTGATGGACAGAGTGAGCATCTGATCCTGCTAGGCTACACAGTGAATAATTGATTAGGTGGTGTCTGACCTCATCAGCTTGCTGTTCACCGCAGGACGTTTCTTACACTGAAGTTAACGTTACACGATCACATGATGGACAAACCCTGCGTCTACTGATAAAACCGGCAGCATAATAATCCATATGGTACATTCTGCTGTGGATACTCACAACATAGAGGATGTTGAGCGCGCACAGGGAGTGTTTGGAGCAGGTGAATCCAGCGCAGCCCATCTTGATCAATAAATAAACACAATAAACCCGTAATAGAAGTGTTTAAATATTTCGGCTCCAGAAAGAAAATCCAGACAAACAAAACCACGCTGAGGCAATAATTCCGCTTCCCAGCTGGAATAGGCTCAGCTGCGGTTCTAACCTGGACAGGACGGAGCTGGATGCGTCAGCGCCAAACAATAAAACAGGAGGATAGAGGAAGTTACAGACCAACCCTTCAAAATAAAAGCATGCATTGCAATTTTTTAATCATTTCCCAATATTTTCTGGAAATAACTATTTAAGGTGGTTAACACAACTAAATAAAATATGTCCAGTGGAACATACCGATGTATGTTTTTAAGAAAGGAATGGTTTCTCATTCACATCAAGTGCATTGCTGGTCCCAAGCCTGGATAAATGGGGAGTGTTGCATCAGGAGGGGCATCTGGCATAATCAAGTAAGAACATAATCTCCATGCTGGGTTGGGTGGGCTGGTTGGATGTTTCATTCCATGCTGCGGATACTCGATGAGATGGTGATATTCTGTTATTATTAAGTTCAGTTGATGGTAATGTCCTTTTTAAATGGGCTGTACAGAAATAGTTATCATGCTGGTTGCATGCTATTCCTGTCCAAGGTCACACCACCTTTAGTATAAAACCATGCAAATCTCAGTGACTGTCAACTGAAACAATAATAATTCTATATAGCTGGTTTGTTCATCTTTCACAGATTCTGAGCCAGTCTGCGCTGTGAGCAGTTTAAATCCACCTAACAGTAAGGAGTGTCCCTATTTATGAAAACACAGCCTTACATATTCTTATTATACAAGTGTATCAGCCGTTATCAGTTTTAGTTTCATTGATGTAAATGCTTCTGGCATGAATAATATTGAATGCTTGCAGTTTGATAAATTCATGTCACCTGGAACGCTTTGCTTTTATTTTGACAGCATAACTTTGAATTCCGGTGTTAGTGTGGTCACCTATTTTAACTTGACTCGGTGAGGGCCGGGCTCCGGAGCATCCAGGCCGCTGATTGGCCACAGAGACCTGTTATTTCCTCTGAAAATCTTCCAGAAAGAAATGTGGAGCAGCAGGGCCCCCCCTTCCTCCTCCCTTCCTCCTCTCGGCGTGATGTGGAGCTTGGCACCTTTAGAAACAGCACGGGGCGGATTATTTTTGGTGATACGCGTGATTCCTCCTGTCTCACCTTACTCTCACAGGTCATGTATGATTCATCGGCAACGGTGTTGGCGACACAACCGTTTCTGGGTCATATGTTCTCTCTCTCTCTCTCTCTCTCTCTCTCTCACACACACACACAGGACAGGAATTTGAGCTTAATTCATTTTGTTTTCTTATTTTTACTATTTCTGTTTTTGGTTTTTCTATGACACTACCTACTACATTTTTAAATGTGTTTAATGTACATGTTCATCTCCATGTTGGTGACTTAAACGCTGCCTGTCACATCCTCTCTGTGAATGGAGCTTTATTAAATTCATAGAGAAAAACAGGAGTGTACACATATAAAACCAGTTTATTCATAGAATGATAAGAGCATTGCCAAGTTCCATACACTGTGTGCTTTGTAAAACTGGTGTGTGTGTGTGTCTAAAACAAGTGTAAACCTACTGCAGAGGTCATGTTACTGTTCCTGGACAGTGTAATAGATGGAGTCTGAGCTGAGGTGGTTGGACGTCTGGAAGGCCATGTCCATGTGTGGGACTGACTCCATACCCAGTGCTCAGACGGGTGCTCGGCTGCCTTAGGAGGAGAGTGGGTTTGTGGTTGGTGTGGTTGGACTGCCTCCACCTCAGCCCAGATGGACTTTAAACATGTTAGCTGCTGTACTGTCATTCAGGCCACAGGATGCAGACTACAGGAACTCCTGCTGCTCTACCTCTAGCCCTCCTCTCCCTCTGACTCCGATTCTGTGGGCAGGAAGAGAAGAAAGCATGAGAGGCCTGTCCTGTCTGCTGGTTACACTGACAATTACAACATATTTAGGTGCAACACTAACTCTGAAGGCTCTCCCAAAGCTCTCCTGGAGTACTCCTGGCCCTGCATGTTTCAGACCTGTCCCTGATTCAAGGAGAGTATCTTGTTGTAAGTCAAAATTATGTCATTAATTTATAACAATGATACTGTATTCATTGTTTATAACTTTTTTAAATTGGTATAAATGATGACATAACATTTACCATAATTATTTCTTTGTAAGTGTAATTACACTTAATAATAATCAGAAATGTGATCCTGTAAGTAATCATTAGGAGATACTATCATAACTGTGATTATAATTGGTTGGAAAAACTGAAACATTTATTTGATAATAGTTTTATTAATTTTTTTTTTTGCCCTCATTCATCATGAGTGAACTCAAAGATCTAAGACTCTATGTACACAAAATACCTATTTCTCTCAAATATTGTTCACAAATCTGTCAAAATCTGTGTTAGTGAGCACTTCTCCTTTGCTGAGATAATCCATCAGGTGTGGCATATCAAGATGCTGATCAGACAGCATGGGTATTGCACAGGTGTGCCTTAGGCTGGCCACAATAAAAGGCCACTTGAAAATATGCAGTTTCATCACACAGTACAATACCACAGATGTCGCAAGTTTTGAGGGAGCAGGCAATTGGCATGCTGACTGCATGCTGCGTTTCAGAGAATTTTGCAGTACATCCAACCAGTCTCAGAACTGCAGACCACCTGTAACCACACCAGCCCAGGACCTCCACATCCATCATCTTCACGTCCAACATTGTCTGAGACCAGCCACCCGGACAGCTGCTGCAACAATTGGTTTGCATAACCAAAGAATTTCTGCACAAAGCATCTCAGGGAAGCTCATCTGCATGCTCGTCGTCCTCATCGGGGTCTCGACCTGACTGCAACTTCTCACAGCCATTGAAGAGGAGTGGACCAACATTCCACAGGCCACATTCAACAACCAAATCAACTCTATGTGAAGGAGATGTGTTGCACTGCGTGAGGCAAATGGTGGTCACACCAGATACTGACTGGTTTCTGGACCCCGCCGAACCCCCCCGAACCCCCCCAATACAGTGAAACTGCTCATTTTCAAGTGGCCTTTTATTGTGGCCAGCCTAAGGCACACCTGTGCAATACCCATGCTGTCTGATCAGCTTCTTGATATGCCAGACCTGTGAGGTGGATGGATTATCTCGGCAAAGGAGAAGAGAAATGGACCTTTTGTGTACACAGAGAAGTCTTAGTACTTTGAATTCAGCCAATGATGAATGGGGGAAAAACAAAAGGGTTGCATTTATAATTTTGTTCAGTGTAATTATAAGATGCTTAGTCTTGTTCTGTTCTATCTATCTTCTACTAAGTTATACAGTAGTTACGAAATACATGAGGATAGCAGAGTCTGCTACTGTACATGAGTTTGATAAAAAGTCAATTCACAGAACAAAATATCCCCATTTAGAGTTTTGGAGTCATGAAATACATTCAAATTTGCATTTCTCCTTTAATGAATAAAGACAGTTAAACATTTCTTTCCAGATCCCCTTAAAAAACATGTTTGCAGTGATGATCAATTTACTATAAAAACTATGCAAATCCCATGATGCAGTTTTTGAGAAAATGTGTTCCATGAGAATGCACGCTTGGTTGCACTGATAACAAGTACTCCGGAGTCTGGAGGGTATAAAAAAAGGGAAGTAATATTGTTATTGCCTTCTTCAGCGTTCTGGAGCCACTCGACAAACTTCTTCATCTGTTCCAAGAAGACACTCTTCCCTTTGGCAGCATGGCCATCTTTGTACCACTTCAGGATGGCCTCCTCACTCAGGACATCCGCTGAGTTAAGACAGAAAAAACACATCTGGAAGGTCTAGAAGAGGATACAACTGACAGACTCGATACAGTATGAATGTGTGAGACACTGACCTTTGTAGAAGAGCACCACTATCTTAGAGAAGGACTTCATGAAGTGGATGTTGTCGTAGCAGTACTCCTGGATCTTCAGTAGCAACACCAGCTCAGACTGACCCTGAGTGCTGAACACTGCCAGCAGAGGAGCGTAGTGCTGAGAAAGAGCACACACACTGTTACATAGTGAACACCTGACGCTGAAGAAGTATTGCTAATACTACCAAGATTCATGTTCGGAATCAGAATCAGAATCAGAATCAGGTATGTTTTCACATCCAAAAAATTTGCCTTGGTATGTATTGTTGATCAACAGTACACATGAACATAAATATAGAAATATAAATACAGTAAAGAAAAGTAAAAAGTAAAGAGATCAAGTATACATGTATACAAAATAATACAATTATACTATAATCCTTATACAAAACATGCCAAAAATATACAGGATAATTAATTAATGTGCAAAGACTCACAATATGAGCAAAAGAGAATTAGTGCAATGTTAATCCCAACTTTAATATTGAGGCTAATATACTAAAAATACTACTAATGCCAAAACCAGTGCAAACATTAACACAATTCTAATACTAGCAATAAAGACGAGCTACTAACACCAAGACTAATTTCTATTACTATCATACTAATATCAAATATCAAATACCAACATACGATTGCTAAATAGCTGAAGTACCATTGCTAAATAGCTAAATGAAGCAACACTAATAGCTTAGCTATAGTACAATTCCCTGTAGCACTCAGGTAGCATCAATCTAGTAAGCTACTTTTTCAAAAAACCCCATAAAGAGCATGTTAAAAATAATAGATTACCGCCCGGCGGTTGTATGCCTCCATCAACCAGTCAGGTTGCACTTTCTATCCATGTCTGTGCAGACTCCTATACTGTATGTAGTGAACTGAATAAAAAGTTATAAAGTGCATTGTTTGGCTAAATGGTAGTTATCACTAAATGAATGACATGATTGCAGAGTGAAAACACATTGAACTGATTAATGAAGCATTATCATAGATAAACACATGCAGCTGATTGCTATGTAAAGATGGATTTTTATAGAGTCTAGCTACACAACACGTGGTGCTTTTGTTTTCTCCACTCTATGAGCTGTAGGTGAAACTCAGGATCTCTGATACGCTGTTTGCAGTGATGCGAAATTCAGAGCGATGCAAGAAGTGTCCGGCAGAATGGATGAAATGAAGGAAAACCTGTACTGTGGTGGTTATTGTTTACTCTGTGCGTCATACCAGGCAACATGTTTTTGACATCTAATTTGAGGTCACACTGACCTCTGACCTTTGAGTCAAAAGTGTCTCCTATCCAGTGTCCGCACAGCCATGAAATAAGCCAGCAGGGAGGCATAAAAATGAGCTTTGGATATTACACCTTTAAAATACGCATTGTAAAGAGGTGTTTAACAGTTCAGCTCTCAGGGGTGTGTGAGCTGATGAGGGACATGGTGTTGTTGTTGTTGTGCAGTGTAGTGATCAGTTGTGAACAACCTACTTTGAGGTGTTTGAGCGCCTGCTCTGTGACCAGCTCCTCCTTCTTGTTCCACTCCACAGCGTTCATCAGGCACATCCACAACAAGCCAATCACAGCCTGCTCCTGTAGCTTGTTCCTCTTCATCTCCTCCTTCACATACACCACCATCTGAACACACACACACACACACACACACACAGAGACTGGTGTGATCTGATTACACTGAAAGTACTGACTGGATGGTCTCCACACTGGGGGCCCCCAGCTGTCTGTACCTCTCTGATGGAGCACTGCTGGGACAGGCGCTCCTGCAGTTCTTTCTGCAGCTCTTTGCGGGTTCCCAGACTCTGCTGCACACGCAGGAAGTCAGACAGCTCCTTGAGCCCGGCTTCAGTGAAGTACTTAGAGAAATGCTCCACATTCTGCTTGTTAGCAGGAAACAGCTCCTGAAGTCAACATGGGTGGAAAACAACAACTGTTTGACAACGAAGAGCAAAATAATATCCATGGCTTTAGAAGTAATAAACCCTCTTAACAGCTCATCCTCTCAAATAAAGGTTAAACAGAACAAATTCACTGCCTGTTGACTAAATAAAGTGAAAATATTCTTTGCGGATTTAACCACACTAACCACTAGGTGTCTGCTGGGTCTTTTATTTGAAAAATCCTGTGGCTCACAGGAAGAGCAGATATAAATACACATAAGAACTTGCTTGTTATCATTTATGGTGATAGCCATAAGGTCAAACTTCAACAACAGAAAATAGATCTCTGTAAGAAGACATTACACTACTGAAGAAGCCGACTGTGACCCCAGTGTAGGAGTACTCAGAACCCACGGCAGAAATGGACATCAAGCAAATGACAAATAATCTGCATTACTATATTACAGTAGAGAGAAAGTAGGGATTTGGTGGACATAGAAAAGTTCTACTCTGGCTGCCTGAGGTTTGTTTTCACTCATATGGAGACGAGGTCACTTCTGCAGGCTTCTTATCTGGTATCCAGAGCTGCACCTCGACCTGTGCAGGGAAGGGCTCACAGTCAGAGCTCCTGATCTGGGTTGTCTCAGCTTTTAAGCTTTAACATGTAGACCTCCTACTGCTAATTGCACCCAGTTCTGCTACCCTTCATGGTTACTCTCTGATGCTATTTCTAAAGAAATAGACGAGGTATGTCATACCACACAGAGCCTTGTTTTTTTCTTACCAGAAGTCTTTTATCCAGGTTTGCCTTCCTCAAAGATGAGGTTACTGAATTGGCATCTTTCTCTGTGATCCATGCTTTGAACATCTTCACAGCAAACAACGCAGAGAGCCCTGAAAAATGTCAATTTGGAAAAACACTAGTTTAACATAAATATTGAGGACGTGCTCTTCTGCACAATTCCACACACATCTTAATCAATATCTTTACGTGAAGTATATTTTCGTTTCGTTTTGTTTTTTGATGTTAGTGACGCTCAACAGTTCCTGCAGAGGCTTGACAATAAAAAGCCTACCAGGAAAGGGATTTATAATGCCAGTCGAGCTTCTTCAATGTGGAATAATTCTACAGGAAGTGGCAGCATAACAGTGATTGAAAAATAAAGAAACTGACTCTGCTGTTGGACTGATGGAATTATATGGTCATTATACTGACTTTATCGAGATAACATGTAGTAAACATCAGCATATTTGATTGAGATTAAAAACACTTTTGAACGACAGGAAGAGATCAATTCTGAAGAGGCTTTTTAAAAAAAACTATTAGGCAGTTATGTAGAACTTCTCCTTTAGAAAACAGTAGGGTTGTTTCCCCTCACCTTCTTTGACCACGCTGTCAGTGAAGAGGCTGGTGATGATTGGAGGTGGTAATGTGCTGTTGGCCAGCAGGATGCCTGTCAGCATGGCTAGCTTGGTTTGCTCCGACTCACTGAAGGCCTTCAGGAACAGCAGCAGCTACACAACAACAGACAGCACACAGTCACAGTCTGATGTTATTACTGGAGCAAAACAACACCATTTGAACAAATGTGTTCCTTTATGCTATTTGGCCCCTCAAAGACCCCATCTTTATACAAATCATATGAATTAGCGACTAGGGAAGAAACTAATGTTACTCTTAATGTTGCAGCTTTTATTTTATGAATTAATGCATTTCATCAAGCCATAAAAAGAGACCGATTAAAAAAAACAGTTTGGTGTACCAAAAGCAATGAAGTGTTCCTCCAAAGGAAGGCACCCAGGAGGCATCCTTATCAGATGCCCGAATCTCAGTTAGCTCCTTTCGATGCGAAGGAGCAGCGGCTCTGAGGTGGACACTTAAGATCCTAAGACAGGCACTAATGACCTTCTTACACCAGCCGGTGTAAAGAGACTGAAGCAGGAGGGATGTGATCACATTTCTTTGTTCTGGTTTAAAGCCTGGCAGCTGAGTTCTGTAAAGTCTCGAGTTGATCATTACATTTTTGGTTCAGACAAATGTTGCAGTAATTCAGGCGTGATGAGATGAAGGCGTGTAAAATGGTCTCAGTCTCTTTAAAAGATAAGATTGGGTTCAGCAATTATAATCCAAAACCGTGATCGTATTTTTGATATATTTCAACAATAAAAACACAATTTCACAAGCTCTGTGGTGTGCTGCTCCAAACTTCAATTACTGTCAAACTGTAAAATAAAACTATTCAAATTTGACTATTAATTTATTAATGAAATAAGTTCAACAGAGTCAAGATTCAGTCACTGTTTTGGTAATTCTGTGTAGCAGACTTTCTAGTATGTTGTTGTCCGTCATACAGGATTCAGGTCATGTTCAATGTATGATGGTAGTTGGCGCTTGTTTAGTAATGAACACTTGATTAGTGCTTTAAATAGTGAACTGTATAGAGTGCAATCATTTTGGATGCAGCTGTGTCATGCATTACTACATATTATGAAGGCTTCACCTTTTTGATTTCCTCCTCAAAGGCCTTCTCCAGATATTTATATCTCCTGATGAGCTTATTGAAAACCTGCAATTACAAAGTAGACAGTGACACAATTAGCCAAGTATCATTGTGTTTCTATAATGCTAACAGAACCCCATCCTCTTTCCTGTTGCTTGGGGACGGGGAATGTACGCGTACCTGAGCATATAGCCGTAGAGCAGCATGGCTTTCCTCAGTGGTGAACACGCAGTATGCTGTCACCTTGGTCTTGTCACCGTCATCTATACGAGTCCCTCCAGGAGCTGAGGAAGGGACCAGGAGGTTTAAGTTAGAGCTTTTGAACCTCTTATTGAGAGCATAACCTGTCCCGAGCTAGACAGGCAAGTAGGACCCTCTCATAAAACACATTTGAGCACCTTACTGTAAAGTGAACACTGGTCTCTTGGTCAGCGATCATCTATGTTTCATATTCAGGTGCCAGATGATGTGGCTCCAACCCAAAACAGGGCAGGTGGCACTGCTGATGACACTTAGGCTTGCACGGTGTTAAGGCGTACACGATTACATTACTTGCCCACCGTAGTTTTGCTGTTTTAATAATCCGGTTGAAATTCATATTTTTAAGCAATTGAAGATGTAATCATCACCAAAGCATGTGTCATGCAAGAGGGCTAAGTTAATATATTTATTGTCCACCAGGGGAGGCCATTTGTCTTCAGTTGTAGTTCAGGTCAATGTCTGTGGCTTATGTCCCATCACTCACTTTGTAGTTTTCCACAGTTTCAACATGGTAACCATCAGCTGAAGCTGGCTCTGTTTTCAGATCTTGTTTTACACAGTTAACTCATTCTTTTCTCTTGGCTATTTCTAGCGAGCTAGTGCGACACCACAGGTACATCCCAAATTCTCTTATTTGACATTTCCTCACTCCTAGCTTGAACAGTTGTTGAAGTTGTTCTGGTCGGCCATCTTGGAGGCCGTCGCAAAGCAAACTTTATGGAAGTCTCTAACTGGCCAACACATCCCCTTATTGGATTTAAGTTATTAACTGGACTCTGCAGCTGATCGGCCTGATCTGATATGTCACAACGCCACTGGAGTTTCATACAGATAACAGATTAAAACCCTATCTAGTTAAAAATCTGTGTTCATTGTGGGTCCAAGCATTGGCTTGAGTTACATCATTTCACAAAACATTTAGCCTAATAAATAATTTCCAATGTTCAAAAGACACCATTTCTCTAAAAACGTATTTCCTCGTGTTTTCTCTCCTTGCATGGTTTTCCCAGAAAAGATGCAAGGATAAAAAGCCTAACCTAACCATAACCTCAGACCTAACCTAAGACCTAACCCTGTTGAGATCAACGAGCCTTTTCAGAAAAATGTGTCTTCATTGAGTAAAAGCTTAGCTAAAATCCACAAATAAAACTCTGGCAAAGTAATTTGGTGATTAGACTCCATGGTGATAACGAAGTACATAAAATGGAGGAGGAACTGCAGATGTATAGAAATCCCCCCATGGAGTCTTGACACTGGTGGTGGTGAGGATGCAGAAGATGTTGGGGGACTGGATGGGAAGTGGTAAAGGTTCTGCTAGCCTGGATGTGGTGAGCCGGAGGTGTTGCGGTGCAGCAGGGCCGTAGTGATTCGAACTGAAATGACAGCAGTCAGCAGAGGAGAGAACAGAAATGTGACAGTGACTCCATGATTGACCGAGCTGATCGTGGTGACCTGACTGGAAGACGCCCATAGTCAGCTGTTTGGGGCAGGGAGAGAAAGAGTGAATGAGAAAAAGTGACTTGTGAATGAGGACTTACGCTAACCACAGTCTTTAAGAAGACAGACTTTTAGAGCGTCTGGGCCAGTGGTCCTGTTCAGCATCATTTTAAGAAGACTTGCAGCAACATCGTCCTCATTGATAACTAGTGATTATTACATTCTGTTCTGATTCAACCACCAGGATTTATTACTGGGGAAAATGTTCACAGTTTTAGTTTCAGACACAGTGTCTTCACAGAATTTAGTATATACGACGTGATAGTGTTATGCAAGTTCATTAGCATCCTGCCAGGACTGAATGAAAATGTTCCAGTTAGTCTCCTTGAAGCAGTCTCATATTTGCTTGCCATTCATTGTGGTTGCTTTCACCACAGTGAAAAGATAATTTACACTGTGGTCAGATTTCCCAAGGTGAGATCTGCATACCGCTTTATAAGCATCAGGGATATTCCCAATAGTCTCAGTCTGCTCTTTTTGTAGTATAACCTGTTAGCCTGGATGATCTTTAAGCCAAGTTTGTGTAAAGCAAACAACTGACCTCACAGTCAATGACAGCTCTTAGCATGACTTCATCTAGTTTGTTGTTCACAGAGCGCACGTTTGACAAGTTGATGACAGGCAATGAAAATCTGTTCCAGCATCTTCAGTCAATGTCTCACACCTCCTCTTGAGCCCCGCTTTTCCTCTTTTTCTTTGGCCTCTCCAGGCATCTTTCAGGCCGCCGGATTTCATAACAGTCCGTAGACAAGTTTACAGATGAGGACCAGGTCACTACGCACACCAGTTGCTCTCGCATGTAGGTGTAGGTGTAGGCCCGTCCACTAATTGTTCCCAGGTGCAACGGCCATAAGGCAAAAATCTATCCATAACATAAGGTGTGTTGATTCATAATGTCAACTCAGACATTGAGTAGCATGCAAAAACACTCCACCCCAAAATTCATTCTTCTGATGGTTTCTTTATTTGTGATCTGTTTCAGCAAAGAAACAGTAGTCTGTCCAACACAATGCCTGCAGGAAATAAAAGCTTGCATAGCTATGTTATCAGAGTAGTCTATCAGATAAGCCTGAATTCTGAATGCACTTCAACTTTTCCCCAGAATGGATGTTACGAATGTGGCTTCATTTGCTCGTAAGTAAATTAAATAATTGAAAACTAACTAATTAATCGTGTTCATTCAGTGCCATGCTAATTACAACTCACTACATCCATGATATTCAACATGATGAAGCTATTCATGAAATCAGTTTCAAATTTAATAGTGTGGTCAGTTATAGTTGACTAATGTACTGTAGCAGACCTAAAATTTAGTTATGCATTTTAATAAATTTATGAGAATTAATACCCAGTTATGAATTTTATTATTCATAAAATCAAACCAGATTCCTCGTTTCAGGGCACCACCGGAGTTGTTATAATCCTAGAGTCTCCGGACCTCTAGGTAGTTTTAATAATTATACAATTATTACTATTGATTAGTTAATTAATAATCGCTCAATTATCTTAAATCAGTCAGTCAGTCTCATATCTAAAGGGTCAATTCTCTTGGCAGGGACCTAGAAATAGGCAACACACACAGCTCTTGATTATATTACAGTGAATTTATTCTCTAACTAATGTGATAAGAAGATGGTTGGATACAGGGAAAATAGCTGCCTGATCCTGGCTTTTTGCTAGGGATTCTCCGGGGTTCTCCGTGTCTGATTGAAAACGCCTCCTCCGTCTGGCAATTCGGCTGTTTTCAGGTTTCCTTCGTTGTAGCTGGCGAGACCACGTGGCTTGGTCTGACCTCGGTGAAGTTAGCTCGACGAAAAAGGCAAAAAATGGAACTTGGTTGTTCCTGAATTAGTCCAGTGTAACTTAACGGACTGATAACTTTAACAAACAAAAGCAATAAAGAAAATAAAACAAACTGAAGGCAGATCGATGTCGCGGCACTTCACGTGTGTAGCTTCAGGCGAACAAAAGGCCCGTCTCGCTGGCCGAGTCTGGGCGTTGCCTGGCGAGGCCGAAGCGTCCAGCGAGCCGAGCAGAGAGGAAGAGAGAAGAGCGAAGAGAATGAGCGACGTCGCATGTCGCTCTTTTGTTGCCTGGGGCGTGGTTCCCCAGGGGGCGTCTCAGGTTTCCCAAGGGACTGCCTTTCCAAACTTAATGTCTAAAAGAAATCTATTTGCACGTATTATAATCAAACATTTTCCACAATCGAACCTCAATGGTTGAACGGTTGTACTGTTCTAAGTTAAGCATTTGCTAACAGGAAACAATTGTCACATTATTGGTCAGGATATTTATACATTTAACGGCATTTCCGATGAGGGCATGTAATACTTATTTCGTCCACTTGGGGGAGCTCAGGTTACATGAGGAAAGCTTAGATTAAATCAAAGATCACCTCTCTTTAGGAACTGGGAATATTGTTGATTCATCCTTATTAAACATTCCTTTGTCATCATTTCTAAAGAAATTTTGTAGGAAAATATTATGAACAAGCATTGATTACATTGGATGAAGGAGTGTCTTGCTGAATGCTAATGGCTGGTTTGTGTCCCTTTGTCAGTTTAACAGTCAGGCACCACGTTATCAGTTTCGGAATCAAAAGGGTGCCAGCTTTATGGTCGGGCTAGCTCTTAGAGAAAACAACTTTGACCCCTCCCCTTCTTCTCTGGGGAGGAGAAAGGAATTTAGAGTAGCTCCAAATTTATTCAATATAAAATGCACAAATCCACACAGTTGTTCACAACAGTACGTAAAATAAAACAGCAGGACCAGTGGTTAAATAACCTTCGATACAAGCCACTAATTAACCTTGCACATGCACACATCAGCAAAACCACCCTGTGAAAGGTTGGGTGTGCTGCCAATTGCGCAGTAGAGCAAGGCTCAAGCCTTGGTGTGCAGGACCCTGGCTCCCAAAACTAGTTCTAAGGCAGGAAAGAGTGAAGGAGTTACGGTAAGTAGTACTGATCCCCGTAATATAAGTTACTGATCAGCTATCATGTGCTTGCACTATTACACATTAAACAAAACGTCTGGATAACCAGCTAACTGATGAATATTATGATTAACTCTGTGAACCTGCTTTAGGGTTGAGATTGAACATTTTAAGTTTAGTTTAACAGAAAGGGCGTAATGTAAGGCATTCTAGAGTGACTCGTATCCACTGCATTGTATACATTTATCCAGCGCAGTTGAAAAAGCTTATTAGGAGTCAGCTGTAAATTTTCCCGGTAAGTACGTTTTGTTTATAACCCGTTTTTAGCTAGTGAAAATAAGCATTCCGGTTAAAATCACAGCTGACATGAATTACAGATACTAACCAAACTTAGCTAACCAAACTTGCTAGCACCGTCGTCTGGTTCAAATATGGCCACGTCTGGTGGTTGCAAGAAATCTACGTGGCGGCGGCCAAACTAAACTTGAGGCTTCAAAACGGCAGTCCACAAACCAACGGGTGACATCACAATGTCCACTTGTTTTGATCTTGGAGACATTCAAGTTTGCATTTGATAACACTGAAGACATGTGGAAGTTTTGTGAAGAAAGTCAAGACAGCCAGGGACGTTAGGCATACTATGAATGCTGACTCGACTGGACGACAACTAATGACTTGGAATAGTAGCAGTGTATACTAATTTGTGATATATGCTGTTTGCTGAATAAAGGGCAACAGAACGGCAAACGGCTGTAAAGTTGGCTCTGCCAAATCAATCATTGCTGGTTGGCACAAATCACTTCAGGTTAACCAGCAACATTGCCAGAGACACCAGATTTAAAAACTCTGGTATACTGCGAGCACAGATAGCTTTACTTGGCAGTCCCACACTCAGGCTTTAATGAAGCACTTTGATTTTACCATGAAGAACACAGCTAGCTAGCTAATGTTAACAATCTGCCTCTGTACCAAAAGTCTTCAGAAATGTCTTCTTCTCTCACCCAAAGAGGATTAGCAAATATTAGCTATATGTATGAGCTACTTATGTATACACGGTTTGTTTCAGGGCACTAATTCAGTTGCTTTCCAGGTATTTGCCACCTAGCTAGGTGTGCAAGCACCTCATTTAGCAAACATACTAGGGTGACCAGATGTCGCCGTTTTCTGGGGACAGTCCCCAGTTTTGGTGGCCTGTCCCCATCTGGAGCTGTCCCTGAATGTCCCCGTTTTTAACTGTTTGTTAATCATAGATTGTATAAGGTGTTAACAGACCTGAAATTAGATTTTAAGTGACCAGAAAGACTGGACAGCAGAGCATACAGGTGTTGTGCCGTGATCGTTCGCCAAAAACTGATCGCTGTTCGTGCAGCATGTTAAAGCTGTATCGTCCAGTCAATTTTTCACAAATGCTTTTCAGCTGTAGAGGGCAGAGGTAATAATTCTTCTGGCAGTTGCAATGAACACTCTCCATCTAATTTATGAACTTCCTTTGGTGCTAAGTTACTCTGGCCTGATGTGCCATATAAAGAATGACAATATGATGGCAATTTATCCACTACAGTGGTGTTTCAGCAAAGAACATGAACTACTTTTTGAGAAATGTAGGGAGTTCACTGGTGCTTAGTGAGGAGATGTCTTTGATTAGTGAGAATCACTGTGTTAATCTGACATAGCCCCCTGTGATCTCTTTGTCTGTGTGAATAACTCAGCCTTGGACTGAATTTATGTGTTTCTGCCAGGATACCACAATACTGACCACTTTAATGTTGTATGGAAGAATACTGATGGTCAATACAAAACACCAACTCAATGTCTTCATTTTCCATAGGAACAGCAGGGTTTTCTATTAGCCGACAATGATATTATTTTATAGCAATTGCTGCGCGCTGATAATATTTAATTATCATGAAACCATTTTTATAATAATTAAAAGATAACATTATCAGCATGTCTTTCAAATTAAACATTCACAGTCACAGTGACACTCACCCAGCATGCTTCCTGCGATGAGGATGTCAAAGAGAGTGTCTGCATAGCGTCTGTAGTCCAGTCGCGACCCTGTGACATCTAGAAACTTGGCTACAGCATCCAGGTCGTCGCCTGCTTCACTGAGGCCTGTAACAATTGTGTCTCGAAAAACTGTTGGCTCAAACTTCTCCTTTTCATCTAGGAGAGAGGATCACATGATCAGTGCTAAAAAGATAGAAAGTGTCATCTGACAAGGCAAGTTTAATTGTATAGCATGTCAACAAGACAATTCAAAGCGCTTTGCATAAAACATAAAGCAACATAGGGCAACATAAAAAGACATTTAGAATTAAATACAATTACAAAAATGTTTAAAAAGAAAATAGCATACATAAGAGTTACAGTGCATCCGGAAAGGTCTGGGACAGGTCTACTTTTTGTCCCCAGAGTCAAAACTATACATGAAGAAGCAGAGTTCAGTTTGCTCCATATATCTGGAACAAACTCCCAGAAACCTGCTGGTCTGCTGAAACTGTCAGTTTCTCTTTAATCAAGGCTGAGGCCTTTTTTTTCCCTTCTGCTGGCTTTTATTAAATCTAATCTGAGGCTTCTGGTTAATATCCTACACTGCACTGTTTACAGTGCATCCAGAAAGTATTCACAGCGCTTCACTTTATCCACATTTTTATCATGTTACAGCCTTATTCCAAAATGGATGAAATTCATTATTTTCCTAAAAATTCTACAAACAATACCGCATAATGACAACGTGAAAGAAGTTTGTTTTAAATCTTTGCAAATTTATTCAAATAAAAAATGAAAATAGCACATGTACACAAGTATTTAGCTGACTTAGATGTTGATGAAACGGCCGCTTTCGTCAACAGTCCCCTGAAGGAAGATGGAGCAGGATGGTTTACAGTTCATGTAATCACCTCCTCTTACAGGTGGACCTCTGGAACCTCATGTGGCATCCGATGACCCCATTAGGGTCACAGAGTCAGTGGAAGGCAGCAGCAGAAACAGCCTTTTCTCATTTGGCCAGGAGATAAAGGTTGGAACCATGCCCGACATGATGGTCCACAATGATTCAGTGCACGGCCGACTGGGACACATCGAATTTGTCAGACATCTCCCTGAAGCTTCTTGGTAATAGGCACCAGTGTCTAACGCAAACACGCGCTATCAAACGCTGTCAAGATGCCAAACCACCAAGCAGCGATATGACCCTAACCGTAAAGCCATGTTGGCCAATCAGAGCATAATAAAATCATAAACAAAGCAGGCAGTGGCGCACAATCTGACATCAAACACAGTAGATAACGACACGCCGGTTTTACTGTCTACATCACAACGCTGCAACCGGCGTTTCTTAAAATCTTCCTCAAAGAGAACAACCTGAGATTTACAGAAGATCTAACTGGCAAAGCTCTGCGGGAGAAACTTTGGCCACTGATCGAGGCTGCCAAAAAACAAGGAAAGAAAGCTCACTTCACTGGGACTCGCGTGATAATAGAAGGGAAGGAGATAAGCCCACCGCTGTCTCTACTGCAAGCACAACCGACACCGGCCCTGATGAACACTGCAAGATCTCCCTGATGGACGTCTGTAGTCACGATTCACAATTTGCATAAACACTGTTTATAGTTAGGCCTACAATTCCGTTTAAAGCTGTTGGGCCTGTGAGTATAAGGTTATGTCATTCCTGGTATGTTTAATCCAAAATCCTTAGGCTTAGCTTTCTTAAGGGATGAAAACACTGTCTTTATCGGTTGTTTCTCTCAATGCCAGGGGACTAGGAGAGAACATTAAGCGTAAAGCAAAACAGCAAAAACTTTTTTTCCCCCCAGGAATCACATTCAGTGATAATGATGCTACTTTTGGAAAACTCAGTGGGAAAATGACATATGGTTGTCACACGGTTCAGAAAGATCTGCAGGGGTTGCTATCTTAAAGAATAACCTTGATGGAGATGTCTTGCACTCAGAAAGTGAACCCAATGGCCGTTACATGTTATTAAATCTTAATATTGATAACAACAGTCTCCATAACCATAACACCAGACTCGAATGACTTTTTGCTTGATGTTTTAGAATCCCGTTTTTTACATTGGTTATCTATAATACCCAAATTTACTGCTTCTTGTGGTGACTTCAACATTGCTTTAAATAGTTCCTTAGACAGATGGCCTCCAAATTCAATAAATTCCTCATCGGTCGATTTGTTGATATTTAAGCAAAAATTCAACATGATATATGGAGGGGAAAAATCCTAATGTTAAACTTTATACATGGAGTAATAAGGCTTGCACAATGTCACGTATTGATTAGAGCTGTGTCACTCCAAGTCTCTCTTAGATCTAAAGCTAGTCAATCATTAAGAGGCTCTTATTGGAAACTTAATAACTCCACTTTAAAACATGATCTAATAATTAAGAAGATCCAAACATTGATTAATTGTTTCTGGAACAAGTCTCTTAAATTTGAGGTGTCAAAATTCTTAAGATAGTACGGGTCCTTTTTGTCCAAATCAAACAATAATAATTACCAGAATAACTGCTCTCTTTCAGATTATGCCTGAAAATCTATCAGAAAATGACAAGCAGGATTTAATTTTATAGCAAAATCGCTTGAATGAAATATACCGAGCCAAAGCAGAGGGAGCCTTTGTGGGGTCAAGGTGTAAATGGTTGGAGGAAGGAGAGCAAAACACTGCGTATTTCTTCCAATTAGAACAATCCCACAATAAATCCAACTCTATTCAAAAACTCTGCATTAATGGTGTTATTACTGATGATCCCCAAAAGATAGCTAATTACTGCTCCACTTTTTATGAAAATTTGTCAGCATAATGAGGTAACACTTTTTTAGGATACCTCACTAAAACAAAGTCAATCTTGAATGGCCAAAAAGATTTTTGTGAAAGCCCAATAATTGCAGATGAAGTCTTGTCTGCCATTCGTCATCTAAAACTCAACAAATCTCTAGGTGTTGATGGCTTAACCTCTTATATTGCTATCGCAGAACAACTTGCCCCCTTCCTTCACCGCATGTACACAGAAGGCATTGAAAACTAAACTCTCCCACCCACTCTCTCTCAAGGACTTATAAGTCTAATTCCAAAGCATAGGAAAGATCCGCTGTGCATTGACACCTGGCGGTCAATTTGCCTTTTTAATAATGATTACAAAATCCTAGCACTAGTTTTTGCCAAATTCTTTTAAAAGCTGTTTTGGACCAAATTTTTGATGAAAACCAAGCCGGCTTTTCGAGGCATAGACATATATCCAATAACATCAGGCTTGTGCTGGACCTCATTGATTATGCTGATCTTAGTGATGATGATGGCTATATACTGTTTCTTGATTTCTGTAAGGCTTTTGACATAGTCAAACACAACTTTCTCTTACGGGCCTTGGATAAATTTGGCTTTGGCGCTTACTTTTGTGCAGCCATTAAAACCATGCAAATTGTTCAATTAAACTGTATGGAGGCACCTCACCTAGATTTGACCTAAAGCACTCATCTTTCTCTGGTTAAACAGCTCCTCAATTCTAGTGGTGAATTAATGTCAAACTCTGAACTCTGAACTCTGAACTGAGGGAATATGCCTTAGTTTTTGATGCAATCCCTTGTGGTGCTCTAATGCATCTTAGAAATTATAATAACACAATATCCGAGCTACACGTACTGTTTCAAAAAGAAATAGTCTCTGTTACAAATGTGGTTCCTTATTGGAATAACCTTACTCCAAATTTGGACTGTAACAAAATTTGGTGCTTATCTTCCAAATATCTCATTTTAAATAAGGTAAAAGAAGCGTCTTTAAAAATGTTGCATCGCTATTATCCCTCCAAGGTATTTCTACGAAGATATATAAGAAAGACATTGATGTGGACTGCTCATTTTGTCAAATGGCTCAAGAAGACGTGCATCATTTATTTTGGACCTTTCCCCACACTTGTCCACACTTTTTCTCCCAATATATTGACTCTGAAATCTCACTTTCTTATGAAAATAGATTGTTATTTCTAAGACAAATAATTTGGATGAAAGCTATCAAGACCTTGCATCTATTTACCCTGTTTAACATCTTTCAGTGGTGATTTGTGATCCTTTTTTGTAAATGTTTTTTTTTCTGTCAGCCCAATGCTGCCCTGGTATTGTCTGCTTTTGTGTATTATATGTTCACCATGTTTGTCAATGAAAGCATCAATTAAAAAACAAACAAACAACTGACTGAGTCGCACCAAACAGTCCACAGTCCAGAGCGTAAAGCTAAACACTGATGTAACAGTAACATCAACAGTACTGCCGTATAACATCCAAGTCGCACCAAACAGACTACATTGTAAAGTCACACACACAAAAAATATTTATTTATGATGTTTATTTAATGCTACGAAAGGACAAGAAAAAAATTAACACCTTCGTAAATGAAATGTAATACTTTTAAGACCTTATATTTAGAATATTAAATTTAAGCCTTTTTTAATAGTTTTAAGACCCCGCGGGTACCCTGAAATCTCTGGAACTGTGGTCAATATCAATATGTTATATCAATATATATATAATATCAATATGGTCTGTTTTTACACAGTCGAATGGATTAGAGGAGTCTTGTACAAGCACCGTGGACCCTGATGAGCTTCGAATTAAAGTGTGTAGCTATATTACATTCTGTGAGGAGAGTGTTATACACTTACATAACAGGTGAGCTGTATCCAAATAAAAAAATCAGAGAAAAAAAAGGTTCCTAGGTCATGGAAACAGTCAAGTATCGTTCCAGTGGCTGAGAACAAGTCTCCTAAGGCATTTGAGATCGTAGACTTGTGGCTCTGACTTCACTGGTTAGGTGAGCTTTTTAACAGGAAGTTAGTTGGGGCGGTGGGGCATTCACTGGATCTTCTGCAGTTTGCATGTAGGAACAAAATAGAGGTGGATGATGTTGTTCCTACCCTTCTTAACTTCATTTTTAAACACCTTGAAGGCTCAGGTACACATACACGCTTATTGTTTTTAAATTTCTAACACAATTTAGCCCCACATTTTAGACAGTAAACTGCTGAGGCCTGGCATCGTTCAGTGTTTACCGTTTCAGATTTTCTGGATCCCAGGGTGTTGGGTTAATGGCACTATGTCTGACATGTTGTTCTCCTCCACTGGATTGCCACAGGGCTGTTTCCTGTAACTTATTTTATACATACTGTACAATGACGACTGCACAAGTTCCCTTCCTGGTAAAGCTAAAGTTCACTGAGCCTCCTGCAGGGGAGTGGTTCTGCCCAGTGGTTGATGACTTTGTTCAGTGGTATGATAAATGTTTTAAAAACTAAATGTAAATTTCAGAAAGCCCTACATGCTCGGATCACTGAACAGGTTCAGTGGCTCGACATATTTTACAGTTCCCTCAGGCCACCAAACTGTTAAGTTCCCATGAGGAATCAGCTGATGATTAGTTTCCCATTTAACTACTGGAGGCTGATGATGTTTTTGGCCATGCATACTCAGGTTTCTTGTTGTCACTTGACGTATTGATGTGTTCAGCTACCGCTTTGGTAAGAATAAAAACTTGTCAATCAATGCAATGTCTTAGATTATTTTCTCTCTGTGCAGAAGCTCATACAGACAGTGGAACACCACCTATGTGAATGTGACGCTTCATGAGGACATGAATGTCTACTGGGCCTTGTGTGTGTGTGTGTGTGTGTGTGTGAGTGAAGAGCAGATCTCAGAGGGCTTGTGTAATAGCTAGTCATTGAATACAAGGTTCATATGAAGCCAGTATACAAATACCTAAAAGCTCTATTTGGTACTCACCCCTTTTCCTGGTCTTAAACCTCTGGCCTGTGAGCACGGGCTTCTGCGGCTTACTGGTATTCATACAAGTCCTAAAAATAGACACAAACAAACGCACCGTTTTGAAGCCTCAAATTTGGCCGATAGGGCGCATCCATGTTGAGTTTTTGCATCCAGCAGCACCGGACGTGACCATATTTGGACGAGACGGCGGAGCTAAAGCCGTGTGTGGAGCTAGCTAGCTTGCTTAGCTAGGTGCATCTGTAATTCACGTACCTGTCATTTTAACAGGGTTGAGAAAGAGAACAACCAACTCCTAATAAGCTTTTTCAGTGGTGCTGGTTAAATTTACACAGTGCCATGGGTACGAGTAACTCTAGCCTGATTGACACGTTGCCATGGTAACGACTTGTCAATCATAGATAGTCCCGCCCTGAAGCATACTCTGCTTTCTGGTCTATTTTCCTCTAAATGGGACCATAATTTACTAAATGCTGTGTTGAAGAAGACTTGAAACTAGCAATTGAGACCATAAACTCATCAGGAAAGTGGTAATAAATAGGGTAATGAAGTAGGGTCATTTCACCATTATTTCTAATGTAGCCGGACTTCTTTTTGCAATGAGAAGAGTCGCCCCCTGCTGGCTGTTCAATAAAATGCAGGTTTAAGGGACTTCCACGTTTGCAGCAGTTCGCTGACCGGAAGCTTCCCGCTTCGTGGGAACCATAGACTGTATATAAAAAGGTGGGAACACATTTTGACAAATAAACGCAGGTCTCCATTAAACGCCTGGTCTGGTTTTTATAGAAGTTCTATGGGTGTATATGACCGCTTTAGCTGCTTCTCAGCTGCTTAAATCGTGCATACAAATATCAATGTTTAAACTTATGATCAATATGTCAGTATTAGGTTGGTTCAGGGGCGTAGGAGCGACTTTGAACCTGGGGGGGACGCTGAAATGCTCGGGGGTTTGTTTTCAGGTTTGTTTGTTTTTTTAAATAAAGCACTTAAATAACTGATAGATTAATAGTCTGCAAATAGTTGTATTATTTTTCTCTATTCTTTTTAATATTATTATATAACTGGCATTGTCTTTTCCATATTTATATATTTCTACATTTATTTATGTCAGCTGTATATTTGTCTGCGTGTAGCACCTTATCACCAAAACAAATTCCTCATATGTGTTAAACATTACTTGGCAATAAACCTCCTTCTGATTCCAATTACATGCTCATTTCTAATGACTTTTGAAAACAGAATGTACTTATTAGTGTGGCTGAAAGAGGGTCTTTGCAGTGACAGAAGATGGAGAATAGACTGGAGAGGGGAGATTATGAAAACTCGAAGAGGGAGAGGGTCAGAGAGAGGGAGTATAATATAACTAGAACAAAACTGACTACATACCATAAAAACCATGGAACAGCTGCTAGTTAATGTAGCCACAGTACAAATGTATTCAGTTATCCTAATGTTACACTTGATGTAGCTGTCTGATATTGCCTGTGTCTCACTTGGCCCTGACTCTCCCTGCAACAAATGTTTGTGAACACAGAGCTGTCTTCAAAGCAAACTGATGACATGCCGTTCGAATAACAAAGTCTTTTTACTACGTGAGTTTTAGAATTTACTACGTCTACTAGCTATCCATACAACTTACAAGCTCGTCCTCCTCAGTTTCTTATACTCCTGCTTCTGTGACCTCTGACCTCTTCTTCTTAAAATACTGCAGGATGTATGTCTCTGTGAGAACATTTTGACTACTTTCAAATTGTTTATGGACACGTAGCAGAGACACATGCACACGTCCTGGCACATGTTTTTAAAGCCAAAGATGGTCACAGACAGACGCAAAAAAGTGGCCCAGGAGTTTGTCTCTGGTCAACCCACTCTCCAGACAAAGCATGTGTTGGGGCCTCTGGGTCTTTAGAGACCTTTATTCATGCATTCTTGAGAATTTTATGCAAGTAGAGTACATAACTGAATGAGCCTTTAAAATACATCATAACTAGAAACACCCCTCTAACACTCCTAAGTAAAGTAATCACTTCAGCTGAGCCCTTGAGTCACGCCTAAAGCTCAACAGGACTGTTTTATCCACCATGTTTTCTCTCTCTGTGCATCTCAAAAATTTTTGTTTTCTGAATAAATAACAGCTGGTCGCTGCTGAGTGAAGCCAAGATTAGTTTCACCGGTGACATTCTGTTCACAGAATCACACATCTAACACATCTATTAAACAGTAACCAATGTAAAAAAACAACAACAACAAAAAAACAAACAAACAGGCTAATATCCATCGAAAGAATGCGATGTTCTTTTCAACAACAGGAAACAGTTAATATATCAGAATCATTCTAGTGATCATCAGACCTAGATGTTACGTTTGTTCTGCAGAGACTAAAGACGTTTTCAATGCGCCGTTAATAGAAATTGAAAATGTATCACTTCTCGTCTTGTTAAAGAGTGACGCAGGCTGCTTACCAACAAGCCACCAGTGCCATGGTGTGCGCTCACTGGATTTCAGTTGTTTCAGTAGAACAATAAAGCCTTAAACTGAAAATGTATTTGCCTGATTTTCTACATGTTTATATCTACCCAGCTCATTCATATCTATGATAAGCGCCCGTCTCTGTACCATAAAGGAGACCTGGCGTTCTTCTGCGTAACTGCGCGCACAGCCTGGCTGACAGCTCATTCGGTTAACGAAGCCTATAGCAGATTACAGACTGGTGAAGTTATTAAATAGATTACTGGCCCACAGAAAATACTGGAATAAAGAGTAAAAGTAGGCTACAGTTTTGAAAAAGGAACGTGAAAAGGTGCCAATTACTTTTTTATTTTATTTATTTATTTTGCAAAATTACGTTACTTGTAACAAGTCACTACCCCCCCTGCAGCAGGCCTCCCCACTGCTGTCTTCAGGTTCAAAAAGAACAGCACAAAATAAAGGTAATATTGAGGCACTTTGCTGCACTCTTTTTTTTTCTCCCTTAACTTTTCAGCACCACATTTGCCTTCTGTCACGTTTTCTATAGGCCTACGTGATTTTTGTCTGCGTTTCAACCGTTTAATCATGTCTGATGCGGAGTGTGTCATTGATTGATTAACTAGTCACTCAAACCGCCTCGGCTATGAGCCATCTCCAAAATCGTCGAAAAATGTGAGGGAGACAAAACATAGATTTTGAAATGTGGGGGGGACATGTCCCCCTCATGTATAATGGCTCCTACGCGTATGGGTTGGTTAGATTCTCCACAATTCAATCGTTCAGTTCATTTAAGGGAAACAAAAAGCCCCAAAGTCTAAAAATAATTCATATAGATTTACCGGTGTAACCTGTACGGTACAAGAGATAAAAAGAAAAGAAAAACGTGCAGACTCCCGTTACCTTTGGAGCGCTTGTTAAGTCTGAATGTGTCCGTTCCTTGATTATTTATATTATATGAAGTTGAGAATATTTCGCGTCACCACAAAGTATGTAGGCCTGCTTGCTCTGGACCTTGCTCTGCATGAAACATGAGAGCACAGACAGTTCGTACGTGGGTTCATGAGATTTTGCGGGAGAGGAAACACCTCCGCGAGTATGCACATCGCTTCGTCCAAGATCGGATGTGCTCGGTGCGGTGTTTGTCCCGCCCCTCCTGCACTGTGATTGGACAGCTGGGTAAAAAGTGACAGTGACGAGCGCAGCTTTTTTCCCAAAGTTGAACATTTTTCAACTCTCGGAACCGGAAAAAAACGCTCAGCGCTCAGCACCCGGCGCGGAAAAGACGCTCAGCGCCTCGTCACGCTCCTGCTGTTTTTACCAGCTAGTAAAATCGCGGCGCTCCCATTGCAATGAATTGAAAATAGACGCTGGAGTCAGAAAAAAACGCTTTGGTGGACACGGGCCCTAAGCGTTGCGCGCCCTGGGCGCATCGCGTTTTGGCCGCCTGCTGTGCCTTGCGTTTTTGAATGAGTGCTCTGAGCTCACTAAATTGAAAAAAATTCAGCTCGTGCCCGACGTCATTCGTGTTTTTGTCCAATCTAATGAATGGAGAGAGGAACCCTCAGTTGTAGCCTACTGACGGAAGTTTACAGTTGCTTGGATTGTCAGGAGACTGCAACAGTCTGTCTCCAGCTCATCCTAAAATAAGCCTTAAACCGACCATCATTAAGACGAAGCCCCTGGACCAGCTCGTAGTCTACTTACTACCAGCGGTGTCTCCTCTTTCTGAGGGTCTCATGTGCCCACACAGATCTCCCTTTCCCTGTCCCCTGCGTGTTTGTAGGCTACACCTCCCACACTCAAACTTTGCCAGAGCAGGCGTTTTCCGTTTGTCTATTTTTTTTTAAAGCAGATGTTTTTAGCAACAAAAGACACAGACCTGTGAGTTGTGATCAAGTTTCTGCTAATATCCGAATGCCAGTTATTAGGGCAAACCAAAGATTACAGATTGCTGGCGCTATAATCTTTGATTAGACCGACAGGACAGCTGATTCGGTGGTTACCTAGCAACATAAAAAACCGCAGCGCCTTGCTCTTTTCTAAATTCAAATTGCTGCTGTGCGCCTCGCGTTTTAGAACCTGCAAAGCGCTTTCTGTCTGATAGGGGCCTGATTCTTCTCGTTTTATAGCGGTTGGCATCACTGCCACCTACTGGATTAAACAGTGCAAAATATTTACAGTGTCCACCCAAAGTGATTCCATTCAGAACTGTAGTCCGTCTAGTTATATAACCTATTATAGTATATATATATTTTTTACACAAGTAATATTCATACTGTTTGAAATAAATAAACTGTTTTCATAGTAGTTTCAGTGTTGTGCCAAAGGAGTTAAAGGCCTGTTCCATACAGACGCCTGTCCCAAATATAGTCAGGGTCAATTCAGTGATTTTAGCAAATAAAAGCCCGGGCTATTAATCGACGTTTTACAGTATTCCAGAGGATCAGATTCACAATTTTTATACGATAAGCTTAAAATGATGACATGATCTGCTTAAAAGTTAATTGGAAAATGATAACCACTGTTGGCCATTTACACTCAATACTGAGCTACCTGCTAGTGTGCTAGACGACACACCACACTGTTGAACAGCAAAGTGGCACAGAAGACACAGCCCTCTTAGTAGTTCCTCAGTATCATAAAAATAAAATTGAAAGTTGTGAGCAGCAACATGCAGCCTGAAGAAGTATGTCCCAGCCTTAAGACTTGCCTCCTACAGTTAGTAAGTTAAAATAGTAACTAAAAATTCCCTAAAGTAGCAAGAGCACAAGACTAAGCAGCGTATAGCAAATAGCTTATTCATTGAGCTTAAGTACTGTTATTTGGCACTCCCCACCAATATTTAACTCGCTTAAAGAATTTATTCCTGCTCCTCTGGAGCAGCTCTTTATCTGGGAATTATTTTAATAGAAATTATTTTATTAAAAATAAGTGGCAAGTTAAAAATGCTTACCAGCAATGAGTGCCTTGTGCTGCCTGTAAGTGAGCTGCACAGCGTTGACTGTGTGTTTCTGCCTACTAACCTTGTGCTCTGCTCTATATATAGTGGACTCATCCTTGCAGTGTAAACCTGCCTCTTACTTTTAGGCTCAGGACACGTGTCAGGTTACTCAGCGTGTGCCTAGCTTATTCTCTCACCTCGGTCTGAAGAAGGGCCACTGTGCTCTGGCACACAGGGTGCAGTGCTACCGGCTGGGTCACGGATTACAAGACTTTCTAATCCATAACATCAATCCCTGTTGTCTGGGTCTCAGTCAGCTCAGGACAGACTGTGTGTCTGTTCACTGCTATCACTCACCTAAGTGTGAAACCAGTGCAAGACTGCTTTGAACTGCATTAACTGTGTAGAAGTACATGGTAAAGGTCTGTCTATATTAATTCCTCCATGTTTAAGCTATATTTATTAGTTTATAAGTTTTCACTAAGAACAAAGCTCTCTTTACCTGCTTCCACTCACACCGTTCCATACATTCACATCCTGAAGTTGACCAGCTACAGTCTGGTAGTCTGGATCAAGAGCATCTCACTTTCTCGCTGAGGGTTATCCTGCTGGTCTGAGGACTGAACCTCACCTGCAGTACTTTCTACTAACTAAACATTTACCCATTAGGCCTCTTTCACAGCAGACATTTTGACTTACCAGGTATATGTAAAGTATGTGTTTCAGATTCAGGAACAGGAGCATGGTATTAGGCATGTATTCTTATGGATGCTGAAAGTAACAAAGTCATTATTAACATTAATAAAGTATCTTTAAGTGTTCCATAGAGATATGTGGGTCAGTGATAAAAAAGGGCATAAAAGTGAGGACATAACTAAAAGTAAGTTATAAATTAAAATAAAAGTATTTTAACTTTCATTAGAATGATATTTATAAATTTACTGTATAAGGGTACCCCCAGGAAGTAAAATTTAAGACTTAAAGACCTTTTTATAATGGAAGATAAGTATGAATTTTATGGCTGAGAAAATAATTGATCAAGTTACCTGAATTTATTAAAACTAGTGCTGGGCAACGATTAAAATTTTTATGCGCATTTTTATGCGCAAAATTGAATAATGAATTCTAAAGTAGTGTATTACGCACTATTAATTTAAATGTACTGCTATATACACATAAGTGCAATAACGTGGTTTGCAAACACTTTAAACAAATAAGGTGCTTTTTACCAGCACAGTAGCGATAAAATATTTCTTGTAAATCTCAACTTAAACATTAAGGTCAATCAAATCAAATATTAAACCAAAGCTATTTGCCACTGCCACGGCATAACCTTTTATCTAGCTTGTTAAAGCAAGTTACCATCAGAATCCAGTTTTCTTGGGGTTTTTTTCTGAACAGGTATCAGCAGAAACATTTTTCTTTTATCCGGGAGCAGCAGAAACAGTGAGTCTATGTTCAGTATCAAGTTCCCCTTCGAGGGAACTCGAACTGCGTCGGTGACGACACTATGGGAACGCCTCTGGGCGTGGCAGGGCTGAACTATGAATGAAACTACTCCAATCCTATTGGTGTTACTAGAACGTTAGTGTGTGACGGCGTAACCGGAGGGGGTATATAAGCACGCTGGCACATAGGACACATTAGCTTCTTTCTATTCAGCAGGCACTCTGGCTATGTTTGGAAGCTCCATCATCCTAACGACGAAGCAGATCATGTCGAAGCGATTCCGACAGTGTGTCTTTCCATGTGAGCGTTTCATCACCGAAGGTGATACCGATGGGATGTGCGTCTCATGCCTGGGGATGTCGCACGCTCAGGCAGCTCTCCAGGGGGGCTGCCTGCGACCATTGCGAGGCCCTGCCCCTGAGGGTGCTGAGATCTCGAGACATTTCTAGAGGATGGTCGGATGCGCTCCCCCCGTGGCACAGGCCCCGCAGTCGCTGACGCGTCGCGGCGGCTCCAATCCTGGGGATCGCAACGTGAGATCGCCGAGGGTGCCGGAATGGCTGAGGCCTTTTTCCGGTCCTCGTCCGCGGAATCCTCCTCCCCTCGTCCCTGATCGGGAGCCCGTTTCTCGGTTTCTCCCACTTGAGGGGTGAGTCCGGAGAGGCTTGCACGATCTGGCTCTGAGGAGCTAGATGTGCTTAGCATGGAGAATGACTTCAGTCTTGGCGGGCCCGGGGGAAGAGGTCCTGAGACTTCGAGTAGGGGGACCCATCACCACCCCCCACCCCCCGAGGGGCTGGTCCCCTTGGCGAATTTCGCGGAAGCTTGGTGAAGCCTCGTGAACATTTCCCCGTGGGTCCTGCGCACAGTAGTAGATGGCTACAGGCTGCAGTTCCGGGTTCGCCCCCCCAGATTCTGCGGGATGGTCGGGACTGCAGTACACGCAGAACAGAGCCAGGTGTTGGGACAGGAAGTCTGCTCTCTGCTAAAGAAAGGGGTCATAGATCTCATTTCCCCGCCTGTAGAAACTTGCAGTTGTGGAAGCTGGAATATGTATAGAGCTTCTGCATTGGCACACCAGTTAAAGTATGAGGACCAGAAATGAGAGCCGTTCAACAGTTTATTGTCCTTAGTTTCCCACTTCAACATTTGACTGTTTGACAGCTAAAAGGCAAATGAAAACAACAGAAGTTACTCTAGCGGGTCATAATCAAATTAAAGCACTTATTAGCTGTTAAACAAGGAAACAATAACGATAGCAGATATACAGAACTTACTCAAGTAATGCATCCAGTCAACTGGGAAGGATTAGCGAGGCTTCATGTTAACCCACATGCTGCAGCAAACAAATGGAAAGGACTGAGCAGGGCCTCATCAGGCCTTTCATCAGTTCAGGTGTGGCCTGACAGGGTTGTGGCTAATCCCCGCCCCCCTGGAACTTGTCAGGAAGGAGGATTTTCTACACCGCCGGTCAGAGAAGCCGACTTCTACAGCCGATACTTCCTGGTTCCCAAGAAGGACGGAGGATTGCGTCCGATTTTGGATCTGCGGTCCCTGAACTAATCTCTGAGGAGATTCAGGTCCCCGCCATCATCAGTCACATCCAATCTGAGGATTGGTTTGTCACGATAGATCTGCAAGACGCTTATTTCCACA